ATTGATGAAGTTGAAGAAAGAGAAAGTGGAAAAGTACAGAAAGTTTATTATTCTGTATTGATCAAAGCTGTGGACAATCTTGACCAAGTAAATTTCTCTTTACGTCTGAAAAGAGGTATTTAATTACTGGTGGTTACCTTAGAAATAATTTTTTTTTTTTGGTATCTTACCTGAAGGAAATATATCGAATAAAGCTTCCGGGTCCAGCAAAGTTAGGAGAAGGAAAGCCTGAAAACCAAAATCATGCCATCATTTTCACTAGAGGGGAAGCTCTTCAGACAATCGACATGAACCAGGTAAAACATTATAATATGTGAAACTTGAACAAGTTGATACTTGACAATGGGTGTCAGGCCTTATTAAAGTTTATTTATTTGAAAATTTTCTTCTAGGACAATTACTTAGAAGAAGCTTTGAAAATGCGTAATCTTCTGGAAGAATTTAATGAAGATCATGGACTGCGCCCACCTACCATTTTAGGTGTTCGGGAGCATATTTTTACTGGAAGGTTATGAATTTTTTTCCTACTTACTGCCAACACTTTGTCGTGTTTAGATTCTGTATTACTTAATTTTATCAATTGTTACAGTGTCTCTTCCTTGGCCTGGTTTATGTCAAATCAAGAAACTAGCTTTGTCACAATTGGTCAAAGAGTTCTAGCGAGACCCCTGAAGTAAGTTTCTGTTTGTTTGTGTTTCTTCCTATACGGTTTACTTATTTGTTCATTTTATTTTAAAATTAATACCAGTATCGTAAAGTATGAACATTCGGAGAGACAAATGGCTTAGTATAAGACCTCTCCCAAATCAAAGTAGCATTTAAATTTCAGAGTGCGTCATACAAGATTAAAACTAGTTTCAAAGGATAACATATTCAATCAATAGTTGTTCCAAGTTTCGCTTACTGAATTTTCTGCTTTCTCCCCTCCCTCGTTTGATTTCCTTGTTGGTGTCATCTCTCATTATATTTGAATTTCTGGAGAAAATAATCAGTGAAATATTGGATTTTTCTTTTGGCTGTCTTCAAACAATTAAAATACCTATCATACAGAATACACGTTTTCTGGGCATGAGTCGCATGACGATTTTTTGAATTGTGTAGGGTTCGATTCCACTATGGTCATCCGGATGTTTTTGACAGAATTTTCCATTTTACTCGAGGAGGAATCAGCAAGGCTTCTTGTGGCATCAATCTGAGCGAGGATATATTTGCTGGTAACATTCTTGGTACATAATATTTAGCAGTGATATTTGATATTTATACCTTTGCATCATATGCCTTCTCCTATACAGGATTCAACTCAACACTAAGACGTGGCAATATTACCCATCATGAATATATCCAAGTTGGAAAGGGTAGAGATGTTGGGCTCAATCAAATCTCTCTTTTTGAAGCAAAAGTGGCCTGTGGTAATGGAGAGCAGACACTAAGCAGGGATATCTACCGGCTGGGGCATCGATTCGACTTTTTCCGCATGCTATCATTTTATTTTACAACCGTTGGATTTTATATCAGCTCAACGGTAATAATGCTTTAGGATGCCAAAACATACTGAACATCTTCTCGTAAAAAGGTTTATAAGAAATAGTAAAATGTTAAGCATCCAAAAAATTTATTAAAAAAATAGAGTATTTATTACACTTTATATTTTTAATGTAATGAATACTTATTTTTTCAATGAAAATTTAATACTTAGAATCAATCCTAAAATTTGAAAAAAAAAATATAAGTTTTATTTTCATGAAATTTTGTAATTAAAGCTTACCTAATGGACTATTTTGCAAATATTATACCCAATACAAAGTAAAGGGATATGGAAATCAATTTCTGATCATATGTATCACTTAAACGCTAAGAGCTGACAACTTCTGCTTGGGAGCTATATAATAATTGTCTTTGTTACCCATCTTTTCATCTTCTTGTGCTTAATTAGCTTAATATACCATATCACTAAGGTTTTTTTTCTGCTTTTCACAGTTAGTGACCTTCACGGTTTTCGCTTTCCTGTATGGCAAACTTTACCTGTCATTGAGTGGACTTGAGACTGCTATAGTTAAGTTAGCTAGGAGAAAAGGAGACGAAGCATTGAAGGTAGCAATGGCTTCACAATCCCTTGTTCAAATAGGTATTCTGATGACTCTGCCTATGGTCATGGAAATTGGACTAGAGAGAGGATTCAGAACTGCTATAGGTGACATCATAATAATGCAGCTGCAACTAGCACCCGTTTTCTTCACTTTCTCTCTGGGGACGAAGATGCACTATTACGGGCGCACTCTCCTCCATGGAGGGGCAAAGTACAGAGCAACTGGGCGTGGTTTTGTAGTTCGTCACGAGAAGTTTGCGGAAAATTACAGGTTGTACTCTAGAAGTCACTTCGTAAAAGGGATAGAGCTAGCTATACTACTTATATGCTATAGGATTTACGGATCAGCAACTCCTGATTCAACAGCATATGTCTTTCTCTCATTTTCAATGTGGTTTTTAGTGTGTTCTTGGTTGTTTGGTCCTTTCCTTTTTAATCCATCTGGATTTGAGTGGCAGAAGATAGTTGAGGATTGGGATGATTGGACAAAATGGATAAGTAGTCAAGGTGGTATTGGCGTTCCTTCAAACAAGAGTTGGGAATCATGGTGGGAAGAGGAACAGGAGCATCTGCAGCACACTGGGATTTGGGGGCGGGTTTGGGAGGTCATTCTAGCCCTGCGTTTCTTTGTCTATCAGTATGGCATTGTGTATCATCTACATGTGGCTAGAGATGACAAGAGCTTAATGGTAATTTTGCTAGCCAATTTAATTTTATTCATGTTTTCATATCAAACTTTTGAATCTGCACCTCAGGGTTTAACTGCCCACATCCATATCCGTACTACATTGTAATATGCATTTTATACAAATAAGTTCCTTGGTTAGAAGAGGATTTAGTCCTTTGCCAAATAATACTCTCCCTGGCGAAGAAGAAAGAAAATGAAAAAGAAATAACAAACACTGGTGTAGATATAGAGGATAGCTTTCTAACATGCATTTTCTCTCTCAGGTTTATGGTCTGTCCTGGCTAGTCATATTAGCTGTCGTGGTCATCCTGAAGGTCGGTATTCAATTATCACACTTCATTATGAGTTAAAGCATTTTCTGTGGTTGAGCTTGGTAGTTATTCTATTAATTAATTGGGTGGCATTCTTGCATCTGAAAATGCAGATCGTGTCCATGGGTAGAAAGACGTTCAGTGCAGATTTTCAGTTGATGTTTCGTCTCCTCAAATCGTGTCTGTTTGTCGGAATAGTTGTCGTTCTAGTCTTGATGTTTAATCTACTTAGTCTCACCGTTGGAGACATCTTTGCGAGCCTCCTAGCCTTTTTGCCGACGGGTTGGGCACTTATACAGGTACTTGTTTAATAGTAGTAGTCATTAATTACCTATGGATATCTCCTTCGTTTGATGATATTGAAAATACACTTGAACTTAATGTCCCGGCCAGAATATTTGACCTGCGCAGTATGTTAGGTCCTTACGGTTTCTTTTGGTGTTTGTTTTTAACAGTCATCACCACCGGGTTGAATCATTTGATTCTTGTTGTCGAAGCGATGACTGTTATTAGAGCTGTTTCCCTCATGATTTCTTTTGCTGCTATCTGTAGATAAAAATTACTTCTTCCTGATACCTGCCCTTTATATGTGACAGATAGGTCAAGCATCTAGGCCATTGATGAAGGGCATTGGAATGTGGGGGTCTGTCAAAGCTTTATCCAGGGGATATGAATACCTGATGGGAGTGCTTGTATTTGCACCAGTGGCCATATTAGCTTGGTTCCCATTTGTTTCAGAATTCCAAACTAGACTGCTATACAACCAAGCATTCAGCCGAGGGCTTCAAATCCAGCGCATTCTGGCTGGTGGCAAGAAGAACAAATAAGACAACTGAATCCTTTTCAGTTATATTTTTACAGGCAGAAGATGAGATGAGTATTCCTGCATAAAACCAAATTTCAGCAATTAGGTAGACATGCAGCAGACTGTATAGTAGAGGAATTCTTTGAGCTAGGGTTGTCGATTAATTCTTGAACACCAAAGAGACGGTGAGTTGGATCTTATCCAAGAAACAAAATGGGTTGACTTCTAGACATGTATAAATGTAATTAGTAGTCTTATTTCTATTTTTTGGTTGATTTTTTTGCAAGAAAATAGTAGTTAATAATAGGAACTCCAAGACCTAGAGAGTAGAGACACTGGCAGTGGTCCTCTAGAACATTATATTCCTTGAGTAGCATGAGGTTTAGGCAAATGTGAAGTTGTTAGTACTGTGTCTTTAACACTCTTTCCAGCATTTGATTAAATGAAATTTTCCCTAATAGCTGGATTACACTTGAAATTTGTACTCAATCACCTGCATTATTCTCGTTTAGCTCTACTTGCATAACAGGTTAGCAGCCAAGGTTTCAATATATACCTGTAAAGTTATACGTAATAACTTCATTGAAAGTATGATAAAATGATAGAAACTATTTTTTGATAAAACCCAAGTCATATTATAAATAAAAACATACGATGTAAGAAAACATTTTTAATTAATTCAGAATTAATAAACTTTAAAATATATTACAATAACAAAAAATGATTTAGTGAATAAAATTAAAAAAAATTATTGCAGTTTAATAAATATATGTTTATACAAGTATAAGAAATACGTTTGAGTTTGATTTGAATGGGTTGGATTGATTTTAAAAGTTTGATTCATTTATTAAAATGATATTTATATATGTTGTATTTATCTCTTTTAAGAATTTTTATCTAAATTTATTTTTAACATAAAAGACAAATCATATTATAAACAAAGACATAAGATGAAAGGATACATGTTTAATTAATTAAAAACTAATAAACTTTAAAGTATATTATAACTAGTCAATAGTGCATGTAATACACATACTTATAACAATTATTTTAATTATTAAAAAATTATTTTAAAATTTGATTCACTTATAAAAATTTTTTTTTTTTGGTGTTTTAAATGTGTGTATTTATTAAAACCAGATCGATTTATAAATATTTTAATTATTCAATCTTTGCATTATGTAAACTTTTGTTGTGGTTAGGCATCAGCAGTTTAAAAGTATCCTCAGCTGAAATAAATTAACCTAAATTAAAAATTTACTTAATTTATTTAGATTATATATATTTTTGCCTTATGTGTTTATTTAAAGTTTTATTTAATTACTTTTGCAATTCAGTCTTTTATCTCTGTTTCTTTTTATTGCTTTAAAGTTAAGGGCATTATTCCAATATCCTTATATTTTGGATAATTTTAAAACTCCCTTTTTACACAGCAAAAAGGCAGTGGGATGACAGTTTATATATATAAAAAATATTAGTCAATTTTTTAATTACATTTTTGTGCTCAATTTAATTAGATATTACAAATTAATCGTAAAACATCTTATATATTTATCTTTGTTAATTTCGATTCCACTAGTAGACTGTATTTGTCTTCGGGAAGACGAATAGACAAGCCAATTCAAAAAGTGCCAAAGTACAAAAAAGAATAAAAGTCATTGAATGAAAAAACTAAAAAACATTTAGCAATAAACTACAACTAGGAAAATTCCAAAGGTGCTACCTGTTTTTCTTCGCTTCATCAATCATTTTCACATTCATGTTAACAAGACATTCTATTACATCAAACAAGCAAAATATATTTCAAATATAGAGAAGTAAAAATTCTTAACAATCAACAAATTAATCATACCCTTCTTTAATCTCTATGAATACGTTCTCTGTCACTTTCTTCTTTGTTATGATTAATTATGTACTAGATAAGACACTTCAATTACCACTTCAATTACCACTATTAAAAAAAAAAAGAAATCGAACACTTTTAGTCTAATACCTAGATCAAAAAGTATCCGCATTTTATGTATAAAAAAATAAAAAATATAGATAAATAATTTTTTAAATATTTAATAGTATTTAATAGAATTATTTATTTTAGTATTGTTATTTGATTGTTAATTTTAAATAATTTCAAGTCAACCAACATCAAGTGTCGACAAATATTTTCACCAATAAAAGCTAACGTTTTAAGAAAGATATTACAATTAACTTCAAATAAAATTTCAACTTACTTTCTCAAGTTGGCTTATTAATTAAAATTAACATGTTTGTTAAATACATAATTAGGCCAAAGTAGGTTAAAAAATAGTTTATGTCTATTCAAACACGAAGTAGCTATCTCGACGTACGTTCTCATCTCTTACCAACTGTTGGTTGTGAGGGAACAACCTTTCCACTTAATGCAAATTAAAATTTTTAAATAATAAAAACACTTAAAAAGTGTTCATATTGATTTATATATGCAGTCGATAAATAGTTAAAAGAATATTCTATTTATACAATATTTACTTAACTCTCATATTTTTATTCTATTCTCATATCTTTCAAAGGAATGTTTACCAAATATTATCTATAAATTATGAACTGATCGCTCTGCCCTCTTCCAATCCTTGTTGAACACGTACACGAGGATGAGGTGCTTTCGGTTTTGGAAAGCTAACTAAAATTAGAGAGAAATTATATTGCTCCACTTAAACCAAATCCCCATGATTTTGAATATATTATTTTACAGTATATTGTCGTGTACCAAAGCATACGAGGCAGTTAACCAACCAACCAAGTACTATTGGAAAAGCATCCAAGAAAAGATAACGAATCAAATGAAATTGATGCGAACCCAAAATCTCAACCACTAAATGGCAGCAGATACATATATACAAAGCTAACTTCATACTCTACAATTAATGTACAATTTTTTCTAGAAAGGTGCAGATGCTATGTCCCTGAATGCTGCGTGTGTTGTTTCTTTCGAGTTCAGTAGTTCCAGTTCTTCACCCATATTATTCTCCATTGTACTGGATCCAATGCAGCAAGCAGCACTAACCACTGGCTGCAATCCCTGCATATATATTAATTGTTAATATTCTTGACCATTCGTGATTCTCGGAAACACAAACAAAATTTCTGTGCCCACATTCATAACTAAACATCTAAATTCAAATTAGGCCTAACAATATTTTTCACTCTTCTTGTGAATCATTTTTTTCAACGTTTTTTATTTTTAGTTAATTTTTATTATAAAAAAATATAACTTTAAAATACATTAATTATTAAATTTTTTATATTCTTTTTTATTAATATTATTAAATATACAAATTATTAAATATATCATTAATATTTTTAAAATAAAATATATAAAATATAAATAATTTAATTATTTTTTTTAGATCTCGATGATTTAAACTTATTTCTTATTAAAAAATCCAAATAAATAAAACTAAAAATTCATAAAATATAATAACTAAGAACATATTCAAGCCATCTAAATCAGGATATATATATATATATATATACATATTATCCTTTTTTCTGACCCTTTAAGTTGTAATTGCTTTATAAATTATGCACGGACGGATGATGCACCGTTTCTATGCATATTTGTAAAGTGTTTTCATTAAGAGTACAAAGGAAAGAAGAAGACTGTCTCCATGCACGCCTTCGAATGTTGAGTATACGTACAATCAAGGCAACAAATTAATTATCGGTACAATTGCCCTATCATATGAACAAACATATTTTTGGGTATTATATTCCATATTCCATAATCCATACAACAGCAAAAATCGTTACAAGTTTTTTAAATTGATAAAAAGCAGGAGTACTATATACCTCGGTGAAAATTCTGGAAGCTTCTTCTATGGTCTTTGTGTTCAATATATATACTGCTAGATCCTGTAAATCCAACGACATCATCTAACAATCCATTTCAATAACTGTCACTGAAGGAGATAGGAAAAACAAAAAACCAAAACTCACTCTGGCGGATTGAATTTGGTTGATATTGAGAGTTCTGGGCTCTCTTTCAATAGATGAAGTCCTTTCAAGGGAAAACATGGGTGCCTCCATTTTATTCTTTTCCCGGACAATATATTGCAATGAAACGCAAACCTAAACATAAAAGATAAACAAACCCTTTTGACTGACAAGTTAATTGATGGTGGCAACAATAATACTCCAAAATGAAATTGGTCCTTTTATATAGTTAAGGAACCACGTACGGTGGTGGTCTTTGGTGACGGCTAAGGCTGAGACAGTGTACCACGCAACAACAACGTGGCGATCCTATAAGGTGCGGTGCACGTGGCACGGTGGATCCGGGGGTGATTTTACAGATGGCACGTGAAGATGACATCGTTAGAATAGAGAAATGGAAACCCCTGGGAACATGCAAACGTGTTTTGTATGGTTTCTAAAAGGGGAAAGAAGTGAATGTGTTTTTGTTTGTGCAAATGAAAACGCAATTACGTGTTGGTAGTTTCGGTGGACGGGCACCGCCATGGGTGTAAAAGTGGTAAACGTGTACGCTTGTGATGCTGTGTATCGTATTTGATTTTGACGTTAGATTTTCTTGGACCCGAATATGAGGCTGAGGATGCACCATGCACGCGACTTCTTAGGTTTTGATTTGATGCTTTTTTAACATTCATATTCTATTCTATGTCATGTTACGTCATCTTCGTGTCTCTCTCAAAGTTTCTGCTTCGTTCTATGTTTTCTTTGGGGTGTTTTTTTGTGTTTTTTAACCACCCATTGATATGAATATCTGATATCTACCTCTCTACCTCTTCAATGAACGAATCATTGATGTTCAATATTTAGGAGCTGTTGGACGGTGCTGTCTCTATCCAGGCCCAAGGCATGAGTCCATGAGGAGGATGAACATTTATTTGCTTGTTACCAGGTAGCCCATCATAGGCTGTATAATGGACTTTTTAATGAATTAAAAAAATTTGACCAAAAACAACTCCATTAACATGCCCTAAGCTAAATTATTAAACTAAGGGCCTGTTTGAATCAAGTCAGGATTCAATTCTAAACGAATGTGGAAAAACTTGATGCCGTAATATTAAATATGCATTTGTACTCCGTGTTAATCATATTTATAGTCATTAAGTTTACGTTACGTGTCGAACTTCATTCAGCAAACAAATAGACACAATCTGTTCTGCTAATTAGTAAACGTGAAGAGAGCGAGGAGAGAAAGAAACTAGAAATAGACACAAACATTTAATTGGAATGCATAATTGGATTACATGATGTTTATTTAGAGTATGTTTAATAAATGAGAGATAATTTAAAAATAGCTTATTTGGTTTACATATTTAGAAAATAAGGGAGGGAATCGATATCTTTTTCCTTTTATTTTCATCACTCCTCTGATATGAAAATTTGGAAGAAAATAAGAAAGCTTTTAAAATAAAATAAAAAGATTGCCATAAAAAAAATATTAAGCTTACCTATTCTAATTAAAATGGTAATTGGCAATTTGGCAGGGGCATAATGGCATATGGCACGCATCACAGTCACCCACTGGGAAACTTTCATTGCCATTAGTGATGGCTTCTTCAGTTGTCTCTTTCTTAGGACTCGAATACAATCATTAATCCTCCCTCATCTTTCTCTCACCCTTTTCCTCCTAACCTTGCAAACTACCATTCCTACCCTTATTTAACATTAAATAAATAAAAAAAAAACCCACCTTAATAAATGTAAGAATATAAGTAAAAAATCAAAAAGATAAATATCAAACAATTGTCAAAACTTACAAATTAAATAGAAAAAAAATCTTATATTTTCACGTTCTATTCTTTTTTTCTTTTTTTTTTATGATATTTTTTTTTCTTTTTTCTTCTACTTATTTAACACTTCATTTTAAAGTATAAATGAATTATTATTTTTTAAAAGTAAAAAGTCAGAAATAAAGTTGTCCTAATTTTCCACACCTAAACAAACAAAATAAATAGTTAAAAACGAAAATGTCTTTCATTCGAACTGCCATAAAACAAAAGTCTCAAACTCAGTCACTCTCTCCTTAATATCTAGGGATAGAAACATGTCAGGTCACAGATCAGACTTTATTCTAAATGGGCCTGACCTGTAACATAATTATTAGACCTGAGCCTGACCTGTTACTTGTTAAAAATTTTATTTTAGGTCTGGTCTGGCCTGTTTAGGTAGTTTGACCTAGCTTGAAGCTTGTTAACAAAGCATGTTAAAAAAAAAATTAATATTAATAAAAATATAAATATTTTATTATCAAATTAGTTTATATATTTTTTTTAATTTCTATTTATGTTATTAATAATTATTAAATAATTATAATAATATTTATATAATTTTATAAATAATTTTTAAAATATTATTTAAGTATTAATTATAAATATTTTATATTAATAAAATTTATATTTATATTTTTCTTGATTTATTTTTTTAAAATTATATAAATAGTAAATATTTTAGAAATATTTTGTTTGTTTAAAGACATCTTATATTCAACAAATAAAGTTATAGTAAACACATAAAATTGATAAAAAAAAAAATAACATTCACACAATTTGTTGAATCAATTAAAAGAAAATTATTATGTTTTAAAAAATAAATAAATTTAAACTTAATGCAATATATATATATATATATATATAATGATAATAATAATAACTATTAAATTAAAAAAATAATTACAAAATATTTAATTTTATTTGTTTCATTAATTTATTATTTTAAATTAACAAATAAACGTAAAATTAATTATACTATAACATTAATATAATATAAAAAATATTACTAATACAATAAATTAAAACACATATTTATATATTACATATAAATTAAAAAATTAATTAATAATTTAATTAAAATACGTGCAAGTTACAACAATATATATTATTATATTATATATTTATAATTATATTATTTATATTATTTGTTACATGATCTGATTATATATATATATATATATTAATATATATTATAATAAATTTTTTATTTTATTTTGTTATTATTTTTTTTTATAAATTTTTACTTTTAAATAAAATATAATTTAGATTTAAGTAATTTCTATTTATTATAAATAAAAAGAATTATATAATTAAATTAACAATAATAAAATTAAAAATATAAAAAATATGTTAATATAATTTTATTTTATTTTTTAAAATTTTATTTCATTTAATTTTGATTACGTTTTATTTTTGTTTAAAGACTTAATTATTTTTTAAATTGTTTAAATATAATAAATATAATAATTTATTATTAAATAAATTTATTATTTAAAAAATATAATCATGTATAAATATTTTTAATTTTTAATAAAATATCATTTCTATTTATTATAATTTTAAATAAGTAAAATTATAACATAATATATTACAGCTTCTGAGTTCCGGCCACCATCAACGGAGAGTTCCGTCTGTTAGTAGATTTTTATTGTTGTTTTTGTTTTGTTTAACTAGGAAAATTCTGTTTAATAATGGTCAGTTACTTTGACCGAGTTTTTAGGGAACTTAGTTTGTTTGCAGTTGTAAAACCCACGCAGTTGTGTAGTGGGTCAATTTTTTTTGTTCTGATTGTTAGCTTTGATACGATATAATAATATATTCTGCCATGCATTGAAGAAAAGAAGACAAGTGAGCAATTTTTCTCACAGAAAACTTACTTCTTTTTTTTTTTCACAATTTGGTATCAGAGCTCCTTTACAGGGGCTTGAACCAGAAAAAAATCATTAGGAAATTGGGTGAGTGAAAGTGCATCTACCGTGAGGGGTATACACTAGGGTGTGAGAGAGAAAAACACCTATAGAGTGCACAGGTGAAGATTGAAGAATTACCTTACAGCCATGACCGATACTAGCAAGTATGTGTAGTCAGCAATTCCTAAATTTGATGGTCACTATGATCATTGGGCGAAGCTGATGGAAAACTTCCTTCGATCAAAGGAATTTTGGCACTTGGTGGAGCATGGTATTGCTGATGTTTCCAATAAGGCCAATGCATCATAAGGAGAGCTTAAATTAATAGAGGAGCAAAAGTTGAAAGATCTGAAAATTAAAAACTATCTCTATCAAGCTATTGATAGGGAAATTTTGGATACCATCCTGAATGATGACACGTCCAAATATATTTGGGATTCAATGAAACAAAAATTCCAGGGATCAACTAGAGTTAAACGTGCTTAGTTGCAAGCATTGCGCAAAGACTTCAAACTGTTGCAAATGAAGGAAGGAGAATCTGTAAATTCATATTTTGCTCGGACGTTGAAGATAGCTAAAAGTATGAAGGCTTGTGGAGAAAACATGCAAGAAAATACCATAACTGCAAAGATTTTGCGGTCTATGACAACCAAATTCAATTATATAGTATGTTCAATTGAAGAATCTAACAACATGGAAGCCATGACCATAGATGAACTTCAGAGTAGTTTACTGGTGCACAAACAAAGGATGCTACTGGCTGTGGAGGAAGAGCAGATCTTGCAAGCTGTAACAAACGAGAAAAGTGGGAGAGGAAGAGAAAGTGGCCCAATATGGCCCAATATGGTCCAATATCTAGAAATATCCCTAACCATATGGCCCAATATTTAAAAATATCTCTAGTCTAGAAATATCCTTACTCTAACTTATCAATTCTCTAGAAACATCTCTAATCTAGAATTATCTTATTTAATATCTACTATAAAATAATCTATGTTCTAGAACCATCCTTGTAATACTATAAATACCTCATTGTACTCCTCATTTTGGCATCAAGTTGAATAAGTAAATTCTCATTCTCTACTAAGAGTTTCAAGTTCTAGTTCTCTCTTGTCCTATTTGAGAGTTTTAAAAGCACTACTTGGTCACTTTCCCTTACTGGTTTCTGAGCCATTTGGTATCAGAGCCAGGTTCATAGCTTCCTACGCTCTTAGTCATCTCTTAACAAACCAACACCGTAGACGTGCTCGGGAGAGGTTGAAGACAATGACATCATCAGTTGCGTGAGCACCACACATCCAACATTGCTGCACCGCTATTGTCTCAAACCTTTTCATAATTTTACTCCCACCCATACAACAAAATGTCACCAAGATGCCAAAACAGAAGGAATGCTCAAGAAATCGAGATGGAGGAGTTATGCCGACAAATTCAAGAACTACAAAAAATTGTGGAGGAACAACAAGCTCTACTTAATCGTCAAAGGAACTCCAATTCAGAAAATGATTCTGAAGAAAGTGACTCTTCGTCTAACACCAGTCATCCACGAAAAAAGAGTACTTGAGGCTACTTCAACAACATCAAGATAGAGATTCCTAAATTTGAGGGGAGACTACAGCCAGATGAATTTGTGGATTGGTTATAGATAGTGGAACGTGTGTTCGAATTAAAAGATATTCTGGATGAACAAAAAGTTAAGATCATCTATGTTAAACTGAAGAAGCATGCATCCATTTGGTGGGAAAATATAAAGAAGAAACGTGAGCGGGAATGCCGAAGCAAGATAAAGACATGGGAGAAAATGGAAAAAGAACTCACTCATAAGTTTTTTCTTGACCACTACTATCAAGATAATTTTATTAAGCTCCATAATTTATGTCAGGATTCTAAGATAGTAAAGGAGTATACCAGAGAATTTGAATTGTTGATGATGAAATGCAATATACAAGAGAAGGAAGAACAAACAATTGCTAGATTTCTTGGAGGGCTAAATCCTGAAATTTTCCAACTTGTCCCACTACAACAGTATTGAACCCTAGATGATGTCATCAAGTTAGCCATTCGAATCGAAAAGCAACTCCCTAAAAGATCAATTTTCCAACCATCATCCTCACGAAACCTTTTTACCCCTCGCAAAGCTCAACCATCGTAACCTACAGCTCCAAACAAAACCCTTTTTAACCCTGTTAAAGACACTAGCCCCAAACAACCAACCTAATCCAAATCGCCCAAATGCTTCAAATGCTAGGGTTATGGGCACATTGCTTCCGAATGTCCCAATCGAAGAATTGTCACTATCATTGAAGGAGAGGCCTACGAAGCATTTGAAGAAGAACTTGAATTCTATCAAAATGATTTCAACAGTCTTCCAGTGTTTGATGAAGAGTTGACCCCAGCAGATCATGAAGAAGCCTTAGTGGTTAGACGCAGTCTTCACACAGCAGCCATTAGAGAAGAACCATGGATGAGACACAATATATTCCACACTTGATGCACCACTCAGGGTAAAAAAAATTTATGTCATCATCGATAGTGGAAGTTGTGAAAACATTGTGTCTAGCTACATGGTGGAGAAATTGAAGCTCCTTACTGATGATCATCCACATCCCTACAAGCTACAATGGCTGAATAAGGGTAATGAAGTCAAGGTTAGTCAACGTTGCCTAGTTACTTTCTCAATCGGAAAAAAATATCAAGATGAAGTTTGGTGTGACGTCCTTCCCATGGATGCATGTCACCTCTTATTGGGACGTCCATGGCAATACGATCGGAAGATTGTGTATGATGAGTCTAAGAATACCTACTCATTCGTCAAAGATGGAGTGAGAATCAAGTTGACTCCATTGGGTCCAGAAAAAGTCAACCCGACCTCACGCAAAGCCAAACTACTCGTATCCCTAATCTCTAAACCACAACTTAAGATGACGCGAGAAGAATCTCAATCAACAAGGTTATTACTCATGGTCGAACAAAACATTGGAACACCTATTCCACAAGAAATAGAAAAGCTCCTTGCAGAATATCTAGATGTGGTACTTGAAGAAATTCCTCCTGGTTTACCACCTATAAGGGACATCCAGCATGTCATCGACTTCATCCCAGGAGCTGTTATCCCAAACAAACCTGCTTATAGGATGAGTCCACATGAACATGATGAAGTACAACATTAAGTGGAGGATCTTCTCGAAAAAGGGTTGATCCAGGAGAGTGTCAGTCCATGTGCAGTCCCTGTCATATTGGTGCCCAAGAAAGATGGAAGTTGGAGAATGTGCATGGATAGTCGAGCCGTGAATAAGATTACCATAAAGTATCGATTCCCGATTCCACGACTCGATGATATGCTAGACTAACTACATGGCGCAGTCATATTCTCGAAGATTGACCTTTGTAGTGGCTATAATTAGATTAGACTACGTCCTGGTGATGAGTGGAAGACCGCTTTCAAGACAAGAGATGGGCTATATGAGTGGACTGTCATGCCATTTGGCTTATCTAATGCACCTAGCACCTTCATGCGCTTGATGAATCAGCTACTACGCCCTTTCATTGGAAAGTTTGTAGTTGTTTATTTCGACAATATTTTAATCTATAGCAACAGCAAAGGAGAACACCTAGACCATATTCACCAAGTGTTGGGCGTTCTCCGGGAGCAAAAGTTGTATGTCAACCTCAAAAAGTGCACCTTCTTGACCAATGAAATAAATTTTTTGGGCTACATCATTACGGGTGAAGGTATCAAGGTTGATTCTAGCAAGGTTGAAGCAATCATCACTGGCCTACCCCTAACTCTGTGCAAGAAGTACGGAGCTTTCATGGATTAGCCTCGTTCTATTGAAGATTCATAAAGAATTTTAGCTCCATTGCTGCCCCGCTTACATATTATATTAAAAGAGATAAATTTCAATGGTCAGAACGCACTCAAAATAGTTTTGATGAGTTGAAGAGACGACTAACTGAAGCTCCAGTTTTAGCACTTCCTAACTTTGATCAGGTGTTCAAAGTAAGCTCTGATGCTTCTAATAGCGGCATTGGTGCTGTTCTCAGTCAAGAAGAAAAGCTAATAGCTTTCTTTAGCGAGAAGCTAAATGATGCTAAACTCAAATACTCCACCTATGACAAGGAGTTCTACGCTGTTGTGAGAGCACTGCAACATTGGAGTCACTATCTGCTTCCTAAGGAATTCATCCTTTATACAGATCATGAAGCCTTGAAACACTTGAATTCTCAACAAAAGATTAGTCGTAGACATGCATCTTGGAGTGAGTTCCTTCAAGCCTATTCGTTTCTGCTTAAACACAAGTCGGGGGTTCAAAACAGTGTAGCAAATGTGCTAAGTCGACGGCGTGCATCACTATCTACAATGCAGATGAAGGTAGTAGGTTTTGAAATTATTAAGGAATTGTATCAAGATGATCCAAATTTTTGGAACATTTGGAGCTCTACAGAAAATTAACCTTTCCAACATTACCATTGACGACAAGGATTCCTATTCAAAAAAAATGTCTTGTGTATTCCCCAATGCTCCTTAAGAGAAGCAATCATTTGGGAAGCACATGACGGAGGATTAGCCGGATACTTTGGACGAGACAAGACAATAGCCTTAATCAAAGAAAACTTCTATTGGCCGAGACTTGAAAGGGATGTTATTGGTCACATTCAAAGGTGTCGAATATGTCACCTTGCCAAGTCCACAAGCCAAAACACTGGGCTATACCTACCTCTTCCAGTACCAGTTGCACCATGGGAGGATATCGGCATGGATTTTGTGTTAGGATTACCTCGTACACAACGACAGAAGAACTCAGTAATGGTGGTCGTGGACCAGTTCTCTAAAATGACCCATTTCATACCTTGCCAAAAGACCAATGATGTTGTTCACATTGCCAATCTATTCTTCAAGGAGATTGTTCGATTGCATGGAATTCCCAAAACCATCACTTCGGATAGAGATGTTAAATTCTTAAGCCATTTTTGGAGGACTCTATGGAAGAAGATGGGCACTAAACTATAGTTCAGCAGTGCTAGCCACCCCTAGACTGACGGACAAACAAAGGCAATAAATAGACTTCTGGAAAATCTACTACGAAGCTTTGTTCAGAAGAATATTCGACAATGGGATCTTATCTTACCCCAAGTTGAGTTCGCCTACAACAATTCCAGTAATCCTGCTACTGGAAAATGTCCATTTGAGGTCGTGTATGGTACTAGACCTCTTAGCCCATTGGACTTGATCCCTATTCCCACTAATAAACAGTTCAGCGCCGATGCTGACCAAAGAGCAAAGGAGATTAAGAAGCTTCATGAGCAAGTTTGAGCACAAATTGAGAAGCAAAATACCAAGTATAAAACTCAACGAGATAAGCATTGGAGACATGCTATTTTCAAAGAAGGAGATTTGGTATAGATTCATCTGCGGAAGGATAGATTTCCAAAGCAGCAAAATGCTAAATTGTCTCCAAGAGCAAATGGACCATTCCGAGTAGTACAGAAGATCAATGACAATGCTTATAAGATAGAACTGCTTGAGTCATACGGAGTTGCTGCTACATTCAACGTTGCAGATCTATCGCCTTACTATGAAGATAATACTTAGACTTAAGGACGAGTCTTTTCCAACCAGGGGAGTATGGCCCAATATCTAGAAATATCCCTAACCATATGGCCCAATATCTAAAAATATCTCTAGTCTAGAAATATCCTTACGCTAGACTTATTCATTCTCTAGTATAAAATAATCTATGTTCTAAAACCATCCTTGTAATACTATAAATACTCCATTGTACTCCTCATTTTGGCATCAAGTTGAATAAGCAAATTCTCATTCTCTACTAAGAGTTTCAAGCTCTAGTTCTCTCTTGTCCTATTTGAGAGTTCTAAGCACTACTTGATCACTTTCCCTTACTGGTTTCTGAGCCAGGAAGAGGAAAGGGTAGAGGATCCTTCCGAGTCAAAGGTAGAGGAAGACAGTCATTCAACAAGGATGAAGTTGAATGCTATAAATGTCACAAACTTGGGCACTTTCAATATGAGTGTCCCATGTGGGAGAAGAATGCTAATTATGCGGAAGTTGAGGATAAGGTGGAACAAGAGGACGAGCTCTTGTTAATGGCTTCAGTTGATCTCAAAGAAGAAAAAGACAATTGGTTTTTAGACTCTGGGTGCAGCAACCACATGAGTGGTATCAAGGATTGGTTCTCACAATTGGATGAGAACTTTCATCACACAGTAAAGCTCGGGAATGACACCTTATTGCTGTTATGGGGAAGGGGAGTGTCTGTATGGTGGTAAATGGCATCACACATGTGATATCTCAGGTATACTACGTTCCTGAACTCAAGAATAATCTCTTGAGTATTTGACAGCTTCAAGAAAAGGGTTTGACCATTACAATTCAAAACAACATGTGTACTGTTGTCCATACAGAAAAAGGGTCAATTATGGAGGTCAGTATGAGCAGCAGTCGGATGTTTGTGCTAACCGCTACTCGAGCTCCAACTGGTGCAGCATGCTTTCAGGTTAAATTGGAGCGAGAATCACAACTATGGCATAATCGTTTAGGCCATTTAAGCTATGATGGCTTAAAAACACTTGCTTCTAAGCAAATGGTGAATGGGCTGCCTACTATTTCAGTTCCACCAGAATTATGTACACACTGCTTGACTGGAAAACAACACCGAAATGTCATGTCAAAGAAGAGTCTATGGAGAGCATCAGAGAAACTTCAACTCATTCATGCTGACTTTTGTGGACCGATTCAACCTTCATCAAATAGTAACAAGAAATATTTCCTAAGCTTTATTGATGATTTCTTACGTAAAACTTGGATATACTTTTTACATGACAAGGCAGAAACTTTTTCTCTATTTAAAAGTTTCAAATCCCTGGTAGAAAAGGAGGCTGGAGGAAGCATTATCTGTCTCAGGACAGACAGAGGTGGAGAATTTAATTCCAGTGCATTTGAAGAATTCTGCAAGACTCAAGGTATACGGAGACAATTAACAGCAGCTTACACACCTCAGCAGAATGGAGTTGCTGAGAGGAAAAACAGAACCATCATGAATATGGTTCGGTTTATGCTGACAGGAAGGTGTGTTCCAAAAATTTTCTAGCTAGAAGCAACCAAGTGGTGTGTCCATGTTCTAAACAGAAGCCCCACAATAGCAGTACAAGATAAAACTCCTGAAGAAGCATCGAGTGGAGTGAAGCCGTCTGTGGATTATTTTTGGGTGTTTGGTTGCATTGCACATGTCCATACACCAGACCAACTACAAGTAAAGCTGGATGATAAGAGCAAAAAGTGTGTTCTTCTTGGAGTTAGTGATGTATCAAAAGCTTACAGATTATTTGATCTTGTTAAAAACCGGATCCTTATCAGCAGAGATGTTGTATTTGAAGAGGAGAAATGCTGGAACTGGAAGAAAATTGAAGGCACAAATCAGCAAGAGAATCTGGATTGGAATAATAATGAGGCACATGAGCATGATGTTGAGGAGGAAGAGCAGAATGATGTAGGAATTTTGGAACAGCAAGCTGCAGAACAATCTGCAGAATTACCAAGTGTAGGAAATGCTGGAATCAATTCTGTTGATCCTTTATCCAGTGATAATACAGCTCAAGGGAGGGCTAGAAGGTATAGAAGAGAACCGATTTGGATGGCTGACTATGATAGAGGAGATGATATATCAGATAATGCTATGATGGTGTCAGCAGATGATCCTGTGACTTATGCAGAAGCTGTCAAGAGTAAGACATGGAGAGATGCAATGAAAAGGGAGATGGAAGCCATAGAGAAGAACAAAACTTGGGAACTAACAAGTTTGCCAGCAGGTATGAAACCAATTGGAGTCAAATGGATATACAAAACCAAACTAAAAGAAAATGGAGAAATTGATAAGTTTAAAGCAAGATTAGTTGCTAAAGGGTATGCACAACAGTATGGAGTGCACTACACTGAGGTATTTGCACCAGTTGCTAAAATGGACACTATACGCATTCTTTTATCCATATCTGCTCAACATGGCTGGAGTATCTATCAACTGGATGTGAAGAGTGCATTTCTTCATGGAGAACTCAAAGAAGAGGTATATGTACAACAACCCACTGGCTTCGTGAAATTAGGAGAAGAAGAAAACGTTTACAGATTAAGAAAAGCATTGTACGGACTTAAGCAAGCACCAAGAGCATGGTACAACAAAATAGAGACATATTTCCTACGCAATGGCTTTGAAAGATGCTTTTGTGAACACACATTGTTTACAAAGTCAAAGGGAGGTAAAATTCTAATTGTGAGTCTATATGTTGATGATCTAATATACACTGGAAATGATGAAAGCATGTGCAATGATTTTAGATCATCTATGATGCTAGAATTTAATATGTCGGATCTAGGGCGGATGAGATATTTTCTTGGGATAGAAATCTTGCAGAATAATCATGAAATTTTTATGTGTCAAAGAAAGTATGCTCATGATGTTTTGAATCGGTTTGGTATGCAAGATTGCAATGCAGTAAAAAATCCAATTGTGCCAGGAACAAAGCTATCAAGAAATGATGCAGGAACTAAAGTGGATGCCACACAATTCAAACAGGTAGTTGGGAGCTTAATGTATTTGACTGCAACTAGGCCAGATTTAATGTATGGAGTCAGCCTGATTAGCAGATTTATGGCCAATCCTACAGAGACACACTGGTTTGCAGCCAAACGGATACTAAGATACTTGAAAGGAACAACAGAGCTTGGTATATACTACAAGAAAGGGGAGAGCACTAATATAATAGCATATACAGACAGTGATTTTGCTGGAGACATTAATGATAGGAAGAGTACTTCAGGTTTTGTGTTTTTCTTAGGGAGTGGAGCAGTTTCATGGTCATCTGAAAAGTAACCAGTAGTAACACTATCTACAACGGAAGCTGAATATATAGCTGCTGCCTCTTGCGCGTGTCAATGCATTTGGAATAAGAGAATTAGGGAGACTCTCGGTTTTAACAATTGGGATCATACACTGGTTTTGTGTGACAACAACTCAACAATCCAATTGTCAAAAAATCCAGTTTTCCATGGAAGGAGTAAATATATAGACGTGCGTTTTCATTTTTTAAGAGATCTTGTTAAGGATGGGAGCATTGAACTGAAGCACTGCAGTTCACAATCTCAAGTTGCAGACATTATGTCCAAACCGTTAAAGTTGGAGCAGTTTTTTAATCTCAGAAGCATGTTGGGTTTGATTGAAGCATCAAAAGTAAACTAGATGTTGAGCATTTAGTTTAAGGGAGGGAATGTTAGTAGATTTTTATTGTTGTTTTTGTTTTGTTTAACTAGTAAGATTCTGTTTAATAATGGTCAGTTACTTTGATCGAGTTTTTAGGGAACTTAGTTTGCTTGCAGTTGTCAAACCCACGCAGTTGTGTAGTGGGTCAATTTTATTGTTCTGATTGTTAGCTTTGATACGATATAATAATGTATTCTGTTATGCATTGAAGAAAAGAAGACAAGTGAGCATTTTTCTCACAGAAAACTTACCTCTTTTTTTGTTCACACCGTCTCGACGGAGGTGAGGGTGAGTTTGCGAGGGAAGAACGGTGGGAGCATGGTTATGGAGGTTATGAGGACCAACTCAGAGGTGTTTGCGGGTTTGATAGGTGAGAATGGAAGCACAATGGATGCGGAAAACTTGGGAGTATTCAGAGACACCGTCGAACTAATGTTTTTTGAAGATGAAGATAACGTTACCAAGACGCTCATCAACTTTGCCGTTTATGGATCATTGATATTTTGGAGGTTCCTTTTTCTCTCTCATTTTCTCTAACCAAATCATTTATTAGTATCCAACTGTTCATTCACCCATATATAACGGTGAAGTTTTGAAGGAGGATAAAAGGGTGTACAACTAGTTTATTCTTAAATCAAAAGAGCTACATAATATTTATAAAAAAAAAAATCATATTAAGAGCATACGTAGTAAAAGATTAATTCTGAGAAATTTTTTTTTATTTTTTAAAAAAATTATCAGAAAGTTAATAAAAATAAACTATTGTTTTAAAAATAATTTAAACCAAACACAACCTAAATTTTATATTAAAAACTATGAAATTTAAGAATGTTTATTAATTAAAAAAATCAAAATTCAATTCCTAAACATATTCTTAGTATTTAACAAGGTTGTCCTGGTGTATTATAGGTTTCAGCAGGAATCCTGTTCAAAAAGAGTGTCTTGTGCTGTTTGAGGTACCTTGAAGCTGTTCCTTGGACTGAGGAGGAAGAAGAGAAATTAAGAAGCATATTCACAAGATTCAAGTTTGATGATGCAATAACAAGAGACATCCTAGGAAGGCTGTACTTGCATGATTCAGGAGATTCTCAGCCAAATGTAGCACGACAACTCATTTGGTCTATCAGCACTTGTAAACATGCAAATGCAAGAAACGGAATGAAGTCATTAGTGAGGGGTCTTCTTTGCAAAAGCTCTGTCAATGAGAAGAACCATCTTTGAGGAGGATCTGTATTCTGTCTGCCACACGTGTGGCTTCACTTATCAGCCTCTTTGAGGAGGCATCTAATCACCCCCCAAATGTTGATGAAGAAAGACACCAGTAAGCCTCCGATTGAGCGTGTCTCGAGACAGGTTGATAACATCAACTGGTTGTTGGAAATTATGGTTGATGGGCAAGTGGCAGAGGACTTTGTGGATATATAGGCACATCAGCAACACAACTTAAAATGCATGACATTGTATCTCCTTTGTTCAGTATGACATTCTTTTACTGTTTTAGCATGGATAATCTTCTCAAACAGGCAGCTCCACATATTGATAGATTAGTAACAAAGCTTTTTCATTGAGTTGACCATCTTTTTCTACCTCCTCCTGCTTATCAATTTTTTATTTCTTCTTTTTCTGGTTGTTCTTCTTTTTCTGGTTCAGTATAGCCTTTTTCTACAATTTCTCCACAGTCGCTGGTCTTCAGACATAGTTCCATCTGTTTCAACATAGCAAACTTGATCTACCATCCAATTTGAAAATAATTGTTTATGCTTGTTGAACTTGGTTTACTCCCGTGCCTGAACTTGCTACCATTTTGGATCAACAAGTCCTGATACCAGATGTTGGTAAGAAAAACAAATTCCTTAGTTGAAATATAGTTGCTATGACAAACATAAATACTCAAAAAAAAAAATTATTAAAAGACCAATGCACTCAAAAGTTTTGCTTTATTAATAGTTAATTATACACTTAAATAACATCAAGAAAACTTGTTGAAATTTTTCTTTAAAACAAATTTGTATAACAAAGAATTATGAATTATCTCATCATAAAACTTTATATTCCATAATATATTGTATTTATAGAGTTCAGAGAATGTTACAACTCAAGTTAGATTTGTTTTCTTTACAATGACAAAGAGTTCAACTTGAATTTGTCTTCTTTATAACAACGAAAAAGCTTAATTTAGATTTGTCTTCTTTAAAATAATAAAGAATTCAACTTAGATTTGTCTTTTTATAACAATAACGCAGCTAATAATAAGTTGACTTTTAATAAACTTTGTTTATCTTCTAGTAAGTTTAATTTCTAACATCCTTGTCTAATATGGGCTTGATTATCCAATCATATTTTTTAACTTCAAAAGAACAAATTAACTTGGCTTGTGAAGATATTTGTTGCTTGGTTTTCATAAGCGCAATAATTCACTACAATTTCTTTGTCATCAAGTCACAAATATAGTAATGTCAATGTGTTTACTGCATCCATGGAACACTTGACATAGTTTGTGCTCCTAGAATATGACGCTCTTGGGTCTTTCTATTTGATTGTATCGAAAGGCCCAATGAATTGGAATTTTCCTATTGGCCGGGTCATTTTGGAGCGAGCAAATCATTTATGATGAAGAGGATGAGTTTCAAGAATGATTCAGAGTTCTTATAAGGTGGAACTATGCAGTATCAAACACGAGATAAATTTTCCAAAGAACAAGTCTTTTTTTCAAATAAGTCAATTCATTTGGGACCACTCTTTTCCTATTCAAAGATCAATGTTTTGTCTTTGTGTTTTCACATCAAGAATTCTTTGCGAGATTGCAAAGGGGCTTCTTACTTCCCAATCAAATCCTCCTATATCTATATATAAATGCTTGTTTATCAAAAATACTTAGAAAAAGCATTTTGAATTGTTAATTCATTGCCTGGCTTAGAAGCAATAGTTCATTATCTAATGGATTTTCTATTTTAATACTGTGTCTGAGAATTATCAGTATTTATCAAATATGTTCCTATCTAAGAGAACGGAACACTATTGGATCAGATGACAAAGACATTATTGAGAGAAAGATAGCTTTTTATGGATGAGATGTTTGTTGCTATCTATTCCGATAACGAATCATTGGTTTAACTGAATAACTACAAAAAATGGATAAACTTTGCTTTCTCTTAATCTTGATGGATCTTCTCAATTCCCTATATTGATAATACACATTCCACTTGAGTATACCGTGAATGCAGCAAACACATCAGCGCCTCATGACTTGATAAAAGATAAAGAAAGTGTGGTGGAGTATTGCACATCAAGTAGCAGATATTTTCATAAGACCACTCAAAGTCAATTTGTTTATACTTGGATAATCAAACCAAGTTTAAAGAGAATGTTAAAAATTAAACCGTTAAAAGATAAACAAAGTTTATTAAGAGCTAATTCATTATTAACTACGTTATCGTTATAAAGAAGATAAATTTAAGTTGAATTCTTCGTTGTTTTGAAGAAAACATATTGAAGTTGAACCTTTCGTTGTTACAGAGAAAATAAATTCAAGTTGAACTCATTTTTGTTATGAAAAGACAAATTTGTTTTAAGTTGTAATCTTTTCTAACCTATATAAATAGAATATGCTATGAAGTATAAAGTTTTATGATGAGATAATTCAACTTAAGTTTTGTCATCAGAAATTTGTTTTAGAGTGATTATTTAAGTGTGTAATTGGCTATTAACCAAGTTAAAGCTTTTTGAATGTAGTGTTCTTCTAATAGAAAAATTATTTCATGAGTATTCATATCTGTCATAGCAACCATGTTTTAATTAGGCACTTTATTTTACTTGCCAGGATATGGGATATACTTCTTACTCTACCTTTGAAGCAGCAATATGTGTTGTTTATGGAATGGTTTCGGTATTTCTCTGGGCATTCCAAATTTGGTGGGGGCCGATCGTTTTTAAGAGGCGCTGAAATTTTTGCCGTTGAATCAAGATAAATATAGTACTGTGGTTTGTCATTTTTACAGTGTAGAGTTGGAATTACGTGAGAGATTCTGAATTGTTTGAGCTGAATAATGTAGATAAGTGGAATCATTATCTTAGCAGCTGGCTACAACATGTGAAAGGTTTCGACAATTTTTACTTTGGCTGCAAAGTCTAACGCAACCCTAACTGATAAAATTTTTTCCAGGGGATTTTTATCACCCCTTTGTTATTTGCATGCCTGAGGTGAAAATAAAAGCTCAAGGCTCCTATTGCATTTTCAAAGAGTGCTGCCCAATCATGCTAAGAAATATTTTCTCAAAGGTAACAATATCACAAGTCACAAGCCAATGTATGGTTATGTATTTTGCGGCCAATGGTTTGCAACTTGATCGAGTCCACTTGGGTGCAAATCGAATGGTCAATTTACATCCCCGCTTTTGTGGACAAGAAATTGGCTCCATTAAATGCTAATTGCTGAGAGGATCTTCCAGCTGGAAAAGTAGATGTGCTAATAAAGCAAACAAACCTCAATCTGCGTTGAATAAAAAGCCGGGACTATGTTTTATTTGCTCATAACATAATTATTTTGTAAGATTTGTACCTAATCAATTGTGAAGTTATTAGAAGAGGGAAATTGGAGTGGGAATTGAAGAACTTCTCGATGCAAAATAGTTGAAAAAGAGCCCCAAAGATTTAGTTTATTGAAAAAACCTAAACTTAATACACCTCCAAGTCATCACCAAAACAACCTATTTATTGTTACTCTAACTTCCAAGGTTGTGTAGTCATTGTGTTTGTGCTAATTTCGGTAATCTGGCAAGAGGAGAAAACAACCAGTAACATGGGTTTTTCAAGCCCTCAAAAAATTCACTTAAAGGTGTACCTTCAACAAACTCCCATCTGCATTGATGTAAACTTTTTTCTATCATACTCTCATTTTCAATCGTTGAAGCCTTCCATCAAACTTCAATCTCCCTCTGATGGTGGATCAACGTTTATGTCAAACCGAAATTTGTTTGATGCAGAATCTGAACATACAAAGTTAGAAGATTCTACAAGTGACTCACTGTTCAAGTCCAATAACAAGATACTTGACGCAGGTACTTGATGAAGGATAATTGCAAAAGCTTTCTCAGCAGTATCATTGTAGCATTCTTATATATCTATATTTAAATCTATCTTCATGAAGACAGTTTGTCAATCCGTAAAGATTCATACCTTTATAGGGGAACAAAAAAAATGGACAATATGAAATTTAAGTTCAATTTAAATTTGAGAGTCATGTAATAATAGTCGTACAAGTCTATTGTACAATAAAAAAAAGTTGATGAGATAATATATAGTTATGGGACAAGAAGCTCGGATTAAGTTTTGCGGGAAGCATAACGATGATGAAAATGTGTATTATATTCTGTCATTTTTAATAAGGATATTTTAGTAAAATTAATATATTTTATTATAATTGACAGTACATTAGTTTTTTAAAATGTGTACTAAGTATTAAATGATAACTAATATATGAGATAAAGAGAGTAATACTTCTTACAATTAATTTATTACAACAGTCGATATTTTAGCCTAGTGTATTTAAGTGCAGGGTTTGATGTCATTGTCTCCCGGTTCACAATGGACTTGGTTCAATGCAGAGATAAATAATACAAGTAAAATTTAAAAAATGTGATCCAGATACAAAGCCACCAAACCTGAAATATTTTTTATACGATTGAAGGTGAGACAAATTTCACCGTGAAATCAATTATACATGATACAATCAAACGTGATTAAAGAATTTGGATCACAATTTTCCAGGGTGACGTATTGAATAATCAACTCTGGGAAGACAGACGCCATTGAACAGCGATCAGGGAAAATTACAGAGCAGTTCGATAATACTGGAGGTTTGTTCATGATTTCCTCCATAATGTCATTCAAACTGTACTAGGTGGTCAGTACTCGGTATCTGCTCAGCACTTTCAACACACCCCCAAGACTGTATGCAACGAATCAGTCAGTTAGCCAGTAACCATTTGGACATCCATTTTCAATGTAGTCATCCAGCTCAAATCACTGTACATTGTGCATTGTCTCCCTGCCTTTAGGAGGCTAATGCAACTTCTTCAAGCAGCAGAGCTTCATTCACATGAAACGAGAGAAAAGAAATGAAAAAGACCCAGCTTCAGCAAATTTTGCCTGCTAGACTATTCTAAGATTTTTTGGACAGTTAGAATCTTCCTGATAGAAAAGAGGCTGCATGTCCCCCACTACGAACTTCCCTCTGTTGAAAACTTCAAAGCCACTCCGCAGAGAACCAACCTCTCTCTCTAGTGACTTATAAATGTAAATACTAATTGACGAGCATTCACTGTTCAAAGGTTGGCCAAAATGTAAAAGCAAGTGATCACCATAGCAAATCATCTTATAAAATTCCATTCAAAACCTTCTGGTAATAATCATACTGCCGTGTCCTCCAAGCGTCCAGGCTACTGCTAATAAGTGAAAGCACCAAGGAGACACATTGCTGGCAAAAGAATTACAACAATCTTAACAATCACACTCGAAACATTTTATATTATAGTAAACACATTATTAATATTGAAACCTCTTCTGTTAAACTCAGATGGAATCGCTTTCGTAGGTTCTGAATTGTCCGTGCACCACCTTTAAAGCATGGGAAACCTGAATCCTGATACCCCCCACCCCCCCCAAAAAAAAAAGGAAAAGATTAAGGTATTTCCTGATCCACACACATGCAAGGTACTGAATAGTACAAGTACAGTTGAGAATAACGATTAATCAAAAGGTCACTTAAAAAGTCATTTTGCCAGATGAGACAGTCTGAGTTCACAATCAAACATCATCGAGTTGGAGAAAAAAAAGGAAACCTCTTTCCCTTGTTTGCCTCTAATCAAATAGATGTAATATCAACTTCATGCATAAATTAATGTATCATGAATAAAAAGGGTTGTTTCTTCCTTTTTTAAATTACAATATTAATGCATAAATTAACATTTTGGGAAAATAAAAGTACAAAAGTCACAACCAGACAATTATCACAGGCACACTTTATTTAGTGATCATGGAATCACAGGCAGCTAATATTACCTGTAACATCTCAACAAGAAGAATAATGCGCTCAGCATGCTTGCGGCATGTAAGGAAGCCTTGAATGCATAAAACCTGTGAAATGCAGGAACAACGCAATCTATCAAATTTAGAGCAAACAATTGCATATGTCATCTGCAATCTCTCAAGGAAAAATCAGAAAGAGCTTTGATCAGCACCTTAAAATAATCAAAGAACTCACTAGGAACACCCTCAGCATCAGAATCCATAACCTAGCACAATCACATGTGATCGTTATATAGAGAAAATCTAATAGCTCCTGATCAAAAGGACCCTTGAATATAGGGAATATAATAAAAGGAAAATAATCTCAGTTTTACCTCAAGAAGCTCACGTGTTAATTTGAAAGGTGCACTTTCAAAGTTAACACCACCAGGTGAATTGGAAAGCATGAAGCCAAAATCAATGTGTATGATATGACCTTCTTCATCCAATAGGAGGTTCCCGTTATGCCTATCCTTTACCTAGATGAGAAAGAGAGATGGGAAGGACAAAAAGCATTCAATAGCAATAAACAGCAAAATGTTATCATTCAATTTGTCACCTAAGTAAAGCACCAGTAAATAAGAGGTTTCACACCTGCAGAAAGTAGCACACCAAGGAATATCCTGCCATACTCTCAACAAAGTTCCTCTGAAACAAATGAAGTAAACAAATTATTAGAGTAAAAGTGTAAAACAAATAACAGAAATAAAATCTTGCCCATTTTAAACATATAACCAAGTATTCTTCATCACACAAGATAAAATTTGTAAAATTATGCCAGAAAAAATGCACAGGGACAGAGGAAAAGTAAGTTGCAATCAGAGTATTTAGCACAATGCAAGTGAGAATAGAAAGAAATCAACTCTAGTACATCCCAGAAAGGAGTTCTGAGGCATGGAACCTAAACAAAAACCAGTGCTTAATAATTTAAATCTACCAGCAACATCAACCAAGAAAAGCAAATCAGAATGCAGACAGAATTATGCCAAACTATTATAAAAATGGATCAAAACTCATTCGCATCATACAAAAATGATTGTATGCGTTAAATTTTGGTAGTGTATTAATTTATCATATATTATTTAGTATTTTTTGCTGAATTTATAAGTATGTGTTTTATTTTTTGGCATTCCATTTCCTTTAGTGTCAGACACAATACCCATAAATATCCATGCTTCTTTGGTCCAATCTTTCATTAACATGTGAAAAACATCTAACAAATATATGTAAGCCTAAACTCGGTTTCTCATCTAACAATTTCAGCTTTAACATAGTACAATTTGCAAAGCTTCATTGGTCTAATCAACACGGCTCAATATTCAAGGCAACATATATTGTTTTAGTTCAATTTCACATAGGTAAGTAATTAACTTGTACTTTAATTTTTTTTTTAAAGATGAGAAGTGTAGATAGAGAAGGGAGAATGTAAGTCAAGAGGGAGGATAAAAATTACAAAACCACTGCAAAAAAAGGAATCAAGAAAGCATCAAGATTGTCCAGTATCAACTTAAAAATGGAAACTCTTGAATTATAAATTCATAGATTGTCCATTTTACTTTACTAGGTGGTGCAATCAGATAGTCTTCTCATTTTGTTTAGACAAATATTTATGCAAGGGAATGAAGAATAAATTCTCCTAGGATGAAGACAAGCAACCAACATAAATCATTTCTGTTCATATCTTCTCTCTGTTAAAGTAAATAAAACAAAGTGGACACATATCAGCCATCTATTTAAAAAAGTGGGGAATTACAGTATTATCAAATGAGAAAGGGGAAGGGACAAAGAAAGTAAGACATAACACATATACACATACTAGTGGAACAAATGCTGAAATGCCAATTAAGAAGTCAGTGCAAATCATAAGATGAACAAGTTTAGTCTAAAATAACTCTGTATCTGCATCTTTAAATTACCTGGGCAAGTTTAAAACTGGGAGAATTTTCGTGATACTTGGCATTGAAGAATTCCCTTAAGCTTGAGATGTTGGGATATCTACTTTTGATAGAATGTAGAGAAGCCTGGAAAGCACCAATATTTTTAATAATGAAGGCTTACTTGGACACTTCAATACATTTAAAATGAGTGAGAACAGGATTACCGTATCTGGAATTGTTTCAATAAGAGCTGTATAAGAAGAAGTACACAAAACTTCATATGGGCGCAGCCAGAGGGGTAGACCAGCTTCTTGGAAAATATCTAGCATCAAAATCCAATGGTTTTAAACAACAACAATGTCTATGAAACACAGAGACTACAGTCTGCATCCTAGTTTAAACTCTCATAAGAATTCAGAACATGGTAAAAAAATGATCCAACTATGTTTCATCAACAACACTTGGGTGCATTCAATCCAACTTGCCCACTAAACAATTTGATTCATGCTCCAGTACATACTTCCAATTATAACTATTGCACTAAAAACTGCAACCAAGTAGATTTAGCAATTCTCGAAGTGCACATCCACAACGGAACTTAAACTGAGATCCTGAATAACATTGTTTTTTTATATGAAGAGAGAATTACATGACTCACAATGGCTTTTTATTTATTTATTTCAAATACAGTAAAATGAAATTTCTCAGGAATAGTCAAGTAAAAAATGTTCTGATATTTAAAGATTAAAAGGCTTCATTTGGATCTGGCGAAGTGGGTGGAAAGACAAGAAAAAGAAGAATAACTTGAACAAGAAGCTTGTTGTTTAAACTCACCAAATCATAGAGAATAACAGCTGTATTTATTTGGACTTAAAAATCTGGATTTGAAAAGAGCCAGTTTCAAGAATGTTGGTCATTTAAGGTTTGGTTTTGGTTTGGTTCAAAGTTGGTTCAGTCCACACAGCTTTTTGCCTAGCCCTAGTAAAGGCACATGAACAATTTTCATCTAATAGATGTAAACCTGATTAGAAATTTCCTAATTCTTAACCAAATAACTGTTTCCTGTCATTCAGATTGTGCTCAATCTAAGCACCTGTAGGCAAATTCTAAAACAATGTTTATTAAAAAGTAAACTCAGTCTTAGTTTTACCTTTCATACTTGTTCAATTTGGAAAAAAAATGTTGACTTTAACCTTTTACAGATACTTATTGTCCAACATTCATCATATAAAACATAAGTTGCGGGAAACAAATACCAAAAGACAACACAATTGAGAAAAACTATTTTGCAGTATAGCGAACATCAATGGAACAAGAATGGATAAATTCAGAACATGAAGGGGGAAAACAATAGCATCAGAAAGACCACCAACCATAGAAGTGAGAAATAAGTTGAACAGCCAAATGCTCCTGCCTGCAATCATCACCACTCTTTACAATAACCTATGTGAAAATGAGAAAATTGAACCATTGTGCTCAAAAGACTCATGGTATGAAGTAAAGCAATAAAAAAACAGTAGAAAAACCAACCGATAGAACACCAATTGAAAACTAATAAATACAATACTGAACACTGAAATCATACATAATACAGGAACACACTTTCTGTCCCAGAGAGAGATATTTTCTGCCCACAAACTGCAAAAGATAACACCTTCTGCCTAATAACATACCCAACCATCAAATATACTGAAATACATAACTGCATCAGTTATTTCATATGTAACTGTTGTCGAGGCAGTTTCTAATTCTAATACAGAACAGCATTGCAGCAGAAGTTATTTTCTATCACATATTCTAGTAGTACATTACTACTCCTAATTTCTGCCCATAACTGCCAATATGACAGTTAATATTACACATTTCAAATAATACATGACTGTATCAATTCCCATCATCAGCCATGATTATTAAATAAAAAATAAAAGGACAAGATAATGTGTTTTTGACACTGAAAATATCATTTGCTGAGTGAAAATATTTCATTCCTGAATCTACTATGTGAGTTCTGCCATGATATGTACAATTTAGATCTACCTAAATAAAATCTAACAGCATACAGAGAATTGAGCTGCTATTTCATTAGTAGCCCATTTTCCTAAGAGTCTTCAGACAGCAATCCTAAAATCAGTGATGCACAGTCCCCCAAGCAAGAGAAAATTATTTCTGATTTTTTTTATTGATATTTTTAAGCATGTTCTTAAAGCACAAATTTTCAACTTTATTTGTATAAACCATTTTGAAAATACTTTGACAAGCAATATTTTTCTGCTCATGACCCAATGCACTAAACCTCAAGTACAGAAAAAATGTATTCATAGTAGTACAACATTTTTAACCCCCATCAGAAATTACAATGCACATTTATAAACATGATATTGACTCCAAATCAACATTTCAAATAGAAATTTAGAAAGGAAACAAACATATTGTAATGAAACTAATGGTGAGATTTTGTATTAGATAGTAAAATACAATTGATCAAGAGATCCCCGGGTGCTTTCCTTTTTACTGTTATGCATAAATATCAAGTTCATGTCTTCATGAATTACCAAAATAAGTAAATAGCTACATATAAAGAGAATTCTTTTGCTTAAAACATGCGCTTACAGATCGCAAATCCCAACCGGGCAACTTCCCATATATGGAAGCCTTGCATACCCTATCCTTCTTTGCCTCCCAAAGTTCACCAGACAAGGCATCACTGGCTCTGGGAGTAATTCCATTAGCCTGTTAGGAGGAATCATGTCATATATGGCAACTCAACAATCCTGAGGATAAGTAAACTTCAATGATTATGGCTTACACTTGGTCGTGCATCTGATGAATCTTGACCAGCACCTTTCAAAGGGAGTCCAAGAGGTGCTTCTCCTTTTGCTGCAGCAGCCTACCAAATAAGATCAACGAAATTAGAACTAGAGATATCTTCATAATTCACAAAAACTAGACATGTTCAACTTATCAGCTGAGTTAATGCTTTTGCCTACAATTACTAATATATTTATAATACAAAGTTACTATCTAAACGATAAAAAAAACTGGAACTGGACGTTTCTTAAATTAAACACCAGCTAAAACAGTTCCAATCAAACACATTAAAGAAGAATAATAGTAATCAGAATTAATGCTTATTATAGAGGGGAAATGAATAGGAAATAGCAAAGAGGATTTTGTAAACATCATATCCACATTTAATCAGATTCCTGATATTATAAGCAATTTTTAACTTCTACTGGTCCTTAAACAATTTACAACAATTACAAAAACAAGGGAAAACACTATCAAAGCATACAGGATTAATGACAAATTCTTATCATAGGGAGTAGAAAATACACTCGAGCAACACATGCATTTTAAGGGGAAACTGGAACAAGACTACAAGAACCAGCATGAATTGAGAAGAGTGACAGAGATCACTGGACATACACTGCAACAGAGGGGCCGGAGGGATTTAAGTACTCTAAAATGGTGCACTTTAACAACAATTGATTGAAAAATCAACCCTTATCGACCCAATGAGGGATGAAAATCTACAATGTTAACTTCTTACATCATAGGTTGCACAATATTTGGTGCAACCAGATCAACAGATAGATATATGACAAGTAATTTGTTAAGGAGACATAGCTCACCTTTACCAACCAAGTCTGATACCAAATTAAGACTCAAACAATGATCAGTAATTCAGTAGAAGACTAGAAGCTTAGACAAAAGTAATGTTAATAGGAGCATCAATAGCAGTTAAAAAGCACTCAAAAACTCACCTTTACTTCTTCTATTGCCACTGTACTTGGAACACGTCGATGTTCCTTTCTTCGAGGTGGTGCTTGATCCTCAACATCTTCCAATCTAACGCCAGGATCAGCCGTCAACACTACTCGTACCCATTCCAAATCACTACCATCTCTAGTAATTGAAGCAGAATGCTGACTGTCATCATGTGGATCAGCCACTTCAGTCTTCTCTGGTTGACCATTTAACTGTGTTTCCACAGAAAGATTCAGACTAACAAATTTGATTTTTGCCTCAGATACATGAGTCATTGCCTGGTCAATTGCTTGGGCAGTTGAACTGGACATTCTATCATTGCTATTGCGGTACACCTCTTGTGCTGTCCGTAATGGATAAGCCCAAGAGGGTGGTTTTTGCAAGAAAGCATCTCCATTTGCCAAAGGAATTCCCCCTTGAGAAAGTTTCTGGGAACTGGATGCCTCCTTCGAATTACTATAATAAACAATTGGCAGGGAAGGGAACATATAAAAAATATGCTTTTCACTTAACTATTATTCTTCTCAATGTCAAGTATTATCCAAGTATACCTTGGCATTTCACATCTCAAAACTTCTACACATATCAGGTAAGGTGCCTTCTCCCTAGAATTCAAGAGAACAGCCTCATCTTCAGGTATATGAAGCACACGATACATGCCCTTTCCCAATGGAAAGCAAACTCCTAGAAATGTGTAACAAGCAAGATTCACATAGAAGTAACAACATAGGCAAAATTTACAAAGAATAAGCAATGGGAAATGTGGCAACTTAATTGGCATACATGAAAAGGACATATCTTTACAATATCAAACTTAAAACAGCCCACAATTGCAATCACATAATTGAAAAACTTCTCCGCAGATCCTCATAGAAATGGACAGTCAATGAGCACCAAAAACTTAGATCCGGTTTGATTCCTGTTTTCTAGAACAGTTTTTTGTTTTAAGAAACAAAAAAAAAAAAAGCGTGTATTTTGTATTTTATTGGTTGAAAGTTGTTTTTATTAATCTGACATTAAAACATAAAATTGAGAACATATTTTAGTTAATTTTGTTCTTTTTACCTTGTTCTCTCTTAAAAGACACAGAGAACAACTTGTCTCATCCTTGTAGTAAATATTGAAAAAAAAATTAGGCAAACCACATCTCCCTTAACCTAACTTTATCACACAACTTAATATGCTTCCATGACAAGGCCAGCATTTGGTCACATCGATGCTGTAGTTTCCATCAATGTGCCCAATCAAGACTTGAGTTTATAAAAATTTAAGAGAGGGGGGTGGGGGGAGCTACGCTTGAGTGGCCATGGAGTTCACAAATGGCTTTTAGTTCAGGAACACTGATTGACCCAGTGCTCTTTCTTGAACCAGCCAGCGAGTCTCCCTGAACTGGTATGCATAATTGGCAGAACAGGATCATGCCATTGCCATTAAAGAAGTGATGACCATTGACCAGTGACTGGCTCATACAGGCCCTGTGCCTGAAGTAGATGCCTTCAATGCTGCTTCAAATTTTTCCATGACCAAGAGGGATTGCTGGACTGGCTGCTTCTTTGGCCAGTGGCTAAGGAACAGGGGTGGGTTTGCAAATAGAGATTTTTGCTGGGGCTTGTTTTCCACTGTGGGGCAATAGTTTTGGTGGCTGTGGATGGAAGTTAGCTGGCAATAAGCTCCAATGAAAAAAATATACCAATCAAATGGAATTTTTAAGTTTTTTCTTTCAAAAACTGTTCTTGGAACAAACTTCATGTAACAGATATTTTCATGCCATACTCTTAAATTGTTTTTAAAACAAGATTATCAAACAATTTCTTTTTTCCTCCCTTTCTTCAAAATATTTTTTAAAAGAAAGAACACAATCAAATGCACCCTTAATTTCTAAACATTATTTCCAAGAGAAGTGAAAAACTACATCAATGACAGATGTAGGGGAAAATTCACCATTCTTTCTACAAAAAATCTGCTGGTAGCCAGACAAGCCAGTTATTTTGTTATATATTGAAAGGAACAAGAAAATACATGTGTAAAGCTTCTAACTCTATACCAAGAAAGGGGGAATTACTGCCACTGAAAATTTACACACCACACTCTTTGGAAATAACATTTAACCTCAGTAGAAATATACAAAAAAATAGAGGAATCTGTTGCCTTAAATAACATCATTCAAACTATATAAATAATGTTAAGGAGTACCTCCAGTGTTCTGAGCCTCAGCTACATGTATATTGATCTCTGCAAGCGACTAGAAAAATAAGAATAACTAAGATGTCAGAAAGTTCAAACATGTATACAGAATACAAACATATTTCAATCTTTAACCATGTCGACTAGATGAAGCATCAAAGTGGTATTTAAGAGAATAACCTCAAGAAGAGCACTTTTGCGATCTTCAATTGGAAATACATCCACTAACCCATATGATGTATCACATAATGACTGCACAAACTCTAGTGAGTCATGGTAAGCTCCTTTTCGAAATTGAGATGGACTAATTGGTAATGGCGGCTTTGTGCTCAATTTTTCACTTTGCTGCTTTGGGGATCCAGGATGCCTCTGCAAAAGTAAATAATCACCAAATGAAGCATAAAAATGCAATATATGAGAGAAATCACCCTTTATTTTATATTAAAAACTAAAGAAACATAAAGGATAAAATGAAAATAAATTTCTGAATGCATTAATACAAGTAGTAAAATTATAATCAGAGACATCATGACTATGAACTGTTTCTATTGTCATGCTATCATGCATGAAAATGCTTATAGAATAATACCATCATTTATTCAAATTGCTTTCAAAAAATGTTGTTGCCGTATCTCTAATGAAAGCTTAAGCTTAAATTATAAGGTGAAAATTCATGAATGGCTTTACTAACATGCCCCCTCAAGAAAAGTCCTTAATGGCCAGGCCTAATTCTACAATGTGTCAAAAATCAGTTTTTATTTGTAAGAATAGGGGCAGCAAGGAGAAGGATTGAACGTCCTAAGTCCTAACCATTTCATCACAACAGATCTGAAAGCATGTTAAGGGGGGGGAGGGGTAAATGCAGGTAGCCAAGCTAATGAAGTAGCTGTTACAAAAGTTTAAGCAATGTCAGTGTCTAAATGGATACTGTGAAACAGACTTTCTATCCAGAAGTCAGATAGCCACAATACAACTTTTTTTATTAAAATGAAATTAACAAGGTGTCTGTGTATATGGGTATTTTGACATAGAAATAAACCAGAGATAAACAAATATTCAACAGACCTCTTTCTGTCTCTTTGACCCCAATAGTTCTGAATCTTCTATTGAGCGGTCACGATCTCTGAACAATTTACGGAAAAAATTCTCTGTACCTGGACTACTTTCAAATAAGCCACTATTATTGCTGTTTTCATTGGCCTGACTACTTTTAGCATCTTCAGGGTGCACACGAAATAGTCTTTTGAACAAGGAAAATTCAGAAGATTCTTCTTCCTCACCATTGGTAGTACCCTCTTCAATTTTATCATTTGTATCTTTCTTGTCCTCAAGTTTATCCTTAAAGAATTTCCGGAAAAACCCTTCTTTTTCATCCTCTTCAGCAGGTTTGGCACATTTCTCTCCAGAATTAGAAACATCTCTGTTATCATTCCTATCACTCCCATCCTTCCTATCTTCAAATTTCTCCCTGAAAAACTTCCGGAAAAATCCATCTTTCTCTTTCTCTTCATCTTCTATTGATTTAGTGTGTGTTCTGTCTTCAGAATCATTTTTGCTATCACGAAACAGCCTCTTAAATAACCCCTCTGAACTTGAAGCTACATCTTCATCTTCACCCCTACTGTCCCTTAAGAGCCTTCGAAAGAAACTATCCTTTTCTGAGTCTTCATCGTCACCTCTACTGTCCCTTAAGAACCTTTTAAAGAAATTATCTTTTTCAGAGTCTTCATCATCTTTCACAGATGACTTCCGAAAAAGAAATGTGTCACGAATTTTTTGGCCCAGTTCATCATCACCTTTGCTATCTCTCAAAAGCCTCTTGAAAAACCCATCTTTTTCAGAACCATCATCATCTTTTTCCACTGACTTCCTAAAAAGCAAAGCATCTCTAACCTTTGGACCTGGCATAAACTTCTTAAATATCTTGTTCTCATCAGGAGACAGTGGGTTGCCATCCTCTTGCAAATTGTTTCCCGAGGAAGGTGAAAATAATAAAGACTTATGAGTAGGAGGTGAAGACGTTAATGACAACAAACGATTTTTTGATGACAGTAACCTATTCAAAACTTGGCTCTTGCCTCCAGGACTCGGAGGTTCAGTTTGAGGCCGTATCAGAGGTGGCCACTCGCCCATCAAGGTGGCTGCTATCTGGCACTTCTCCTGAATCCGACTAATGCCTTCATTATCATCAGAGTCCTCAAGCTCTGCCAACAGGAACCAATGTACCTTCAAAGCAATCTTAAGTGACTTCGAGCACATATCTATCACAAATTTATCCAAGGATGGACTAGGCTTGTGTATCATCATGTAACATATCTGGAACAAATAACTCTCAATACCTTGCAAAGGAAGAGTATACATTCTATTACAGAGATAATCACGCACCCCGGCATGATCATGCTTGTACAAGTAGCTAACAGCAATCCACTCGCAGAAGAATGCCGAGTCAAAGAACCTGATGAGCCACCCATTTTCACCAGACTCACTGGTCAGGTTCGACCTGGACGCTATTTCCCGGGGTTCTTCTGCATAACCAAGAGTCAACCCTAAAAACTTCACCATCCTCAATCTACCATAATCAACGGGACACCCTAGTTTCAATTGGACCAAATTCAGAACAACTAAAGCATCCTAATGCTACTCTTTCCATATAAACCCTATAAATCCCTTAAACCTTGGTGAAAACCCTAATCCTCTAACAAATCGATATTACCCTCTCACCAATTGTCCAATTCGGACGAGTAGTGCAAAACCGAGCACCAATATACTGAGCAGAAACCTCGTACCGATCATGCGAATAAAATAACAGAACAACAATCTAACGTTTCTGATTTCTAGGGCACCGGAAACTGAAACTGCAGGTGAAACAATTGGGAATTACCCTCGAAATTGCAACGCAACTTTTGAATTGGAGGAAATGAAGATACCCAAATTGCTCGAACGCGATGAAAATTTGAACCTGATTCTTTTAATAGTACGAGAGCGTGGAATTGAATTGAGTATCGTAGCGAATCTCCGTAGCTTCTTTTAAACGACGGCGTTCTATCGATGGTTGTTGCGGTGACAACGGTGCTACAGTGCTTGTCGCCGTTACTTTTTTCAGAGTGAGAAAGACGACAAAGGTGAGGTCCGAGTTTATTAAAGCATGAAAAGTATAAAAAGAAAAAATATATATAAATATATTCATTCCTGTATTATAAATTAAGCTTACATAACTTAAAATAAGATAAATTTTATGTAGATTTTTCTACATTCCTTTCATGCAGTCATAATTAAACACTTTATTAACTAAATTAATATTTTAAATTTTAAATAATTTAATTTATATTTCAAAATTTTGTTATTACAAGCGTGGCCCTCAATTATTTTATATTAACAATAAAATATTAGTTATTAATTTAATGAATTCTCTTTTTAATGTTTTTAATTTATATTTTTTCGATACATTTCTAAAAATATTAAACAGTAAAAAAAAAGGAGCATAACTGTGGGTTGCGTGCTCCAGTCTCAGGCGCGTGAACAACTTTATTTGTCTCTCATTCTTAATTCACAAAGTAAAACTTACGTTGATGAATTATTCTTCATAAATTACTCTTAGTTATAATATTTTTACACAAATTTCTTAATAATGATTTTTTAATTTTTTAAATTTAACAAAAAATATTCATTTTACTATATAAATAACATTTTTCAATACCTTTTATTTTAAGTCAACTTTCATAGGTACCTCTTTATTCAGGTTAGGGGAAGATCCTTTCCATTTGCTTGGTAAATCATTAGGAAAGAATATATATGAGTCTTAAATATTTGAAATTTCATAAAAAAAAAAATCTGTGTATTTTATCAAAAATAGTGGGGAGTTAATTCTATGGAATGGTGTTGTCGATTTATTGCAGAGTTTTCCACACTTTACAGCAAACTAAATATAGTTTGAGTTTATAATTTTTAAAATTAATTAAATAATAAGTCTTTAAAAATATTTTTTAAAATATTTAAATTCAATTCTAAAAATTAAGGTAAAAAAATAATTATTTAAATACAAATAATTCAAAAAATAAGATTTTTGACACTTATAAACAAGGAAAATATTTTGTAGACAAACAAAAGTTTTTACAACTAGAGAGAAAAATAATAATAAATATTATATATAATGTAATATGAATAAAAAATAGTTTAGTATAATTTAAAATATAACAAAATTTAGGTACAATAAAAAAAATGCTATTAATGTTGTTCTTCAATTAAAATTGAAGCTTCAACTCGGTAATTCACAAAATGAAGAATAACATTAAAATTTCACATCTATTATTGAGGTAAAACTAAACTTAATCGAAAATAACACATAAAATTTGTCTTTTAAAATATTGTTGCGAGCTCGTCTTTCATTAAAAGTCTAGGAACTAACAAGGGTACTGTGAGATGTAGATTTCAAACTGTAATATTTAGAGAGAGAAGAAAGAAGTATAAGATTTTGAATTATGAATGATTATATGTATATGTGATAACGTGAATTCCCACAATAGTCATAATGTGCATTGTAATGACCACAATATATGCAATTGCAGTAACCACGGCCACAGCTGCAAGTTAAAATATTGTTGTGAGCCATTTAAGGTTAGTAACAAACAGGGGCGGCACCAGGAAATGGAGATTTCAAGTGTGCAAAAGAAATGAAAGATGTCATAAAATATTTGTATATCAAACAAATGGTATTTGGTATTGACACTATAATCAAACTCTGAAGCAAAAGATATTGGGATCCACATCTCCCTGTAGTACACCCTGAGAAGGGAATTTGGGGAGCCTACTAGCAATGCATTTAGCCGCATCAAAATATGATTCATTTCTTCTCATTACCCCACCTTGTGTAACTCCACTATTATGATAAGTAGGAAAGTTGCAATTTCCTTCCTTGGTTAGAGCCTTAAATTTCTCTGTCTTCATTCTCCAGCTTCCATTTCTCAAATTGAAGTTATAAAGAGGAAAGAACCGTTGCCCACATACAGCTACAAATTCTATGGAATTCATAATGTACTCGAAATCCTCTTCACTCATGTAGTAAGGAAAACTAACTCGGGTCCACCCTGGCTTTACTCCAATGTAGCCCTGTACAAAAGTAGCAAATAATTTTGGTTTTAAAAAACATGCTTTGACACTAAATTTTAAAACATAATACATAAAAAAGGTTGTTGGATCATTTTTCACCTCTTGAATTGCTGATCTAATTGCAAGTGATTGAGACTTGTTGATGTTGAGCAATTCATGGCCATAAGGTCCAGCACAAGCACACCCACCTCGAGCTTGGATGCCAAAGAGGTCATTGAGCAGTGATGCAACAAAAGGGCCATGAAGTGGCTTACCTCTTTGGTTCCCCATTTCAGACCACAGATCAAGTTCCCTTTCATTTTCTTGGTTACCATCATTCCACTCATTTCTCCTACCAGCTGAGGAAGAATTGGTGGTGGAGTATATGAGAAATGATAATATAGCTTGTCGCTTGGCCTTCAAGTTTCCTAGAACCTCAATGTTGGGATTTGAAACAAGCCTTTCAAGTGCCTTGTTAATGTACATTTGTTCACGTTTTTCAATTTCATTGAAGCTTATATATTCTTTCACCCAAAATGCCAATGCTGCTCTAACTGTCTGGATTATTGGAGGTGTGCCCCCACTTTCCCTTTCCTCTATGTTCTCCAAATACAGTGTATCCTGCATTGATAAAACATAGTTGATGATGATTGATGAAGTTTTAATCAATATAGGGTGAAGGGAACATTATGTTGAAATGCTTCACAAAATGAATATGGAAATGGGTTATTTCTACATATTCTCAAGTATATATTATTGGTTTTATGTAGGTCGACCAAAATGCCATACTCAAATCATCGACAACATGCAAAGCCTACAATGATCAATTCAAAGATCTCACTCCCCTTATACTGTTACTTTATTTTATCAATGAAAGTACCCTAAATTTCTCACCATTTTCATTTTCAGATTCACATCTGCAAGCAGCCACCTTCCCTGATGCTTAAATTAAAGTGCACCTATTTATGAATTCCCTTTTGGCTTAATGTTGCTAATGGATTTCCAAATGAAGTTTCTAATTTGAGACTGGCGATTCACCTTTTCATTGAAGCCATTGACATAAGTCACAGTTCCACCTCCACAAGTTGATGGAGGAGAAGATCCTAACCGGTAGAGGGCCTTGTTCAAGAGGAGCACCCCAGGAGAGTCAGGACCACCAAGAAACTTATGAGGACTGAGGAACACAGCATCATACCCATCACTATGCCCTGATCTCATCTCTATCTCCACGTATGGACCACTAAACAAACAAATAAACCATCACCAACTTTTCTAATTTTCTAATAAACAAACTCATAATCAAAGGGAGAACACGTAATAAGTAAGTACCTGGCTGCGAAATCAAAGCATGCAAAGCCCTTGTACTGGTGAAGGAGTTGAGCAATTGCACGTGTATCTGAGTAGATTCCAGTGACATTGCTACAAGCTGAAAAAGATCCCAACAAGGGTCGATTGGTATTTTTGTAGGCTTCAAGTTGCAGCTTTAGAGCATCCATATCAAGCAACCCATTGTCATCAAGGCCAATCTCTACCACCTCAGCCAAGCTTTGCCTCCAAGAAAGCAGGTTTGAATGATGCTCATGCGGTCCAACAAAAACCACCCATCTTTCTTCTGTGCTGAGGCTCTTTAAAAGCCTTTCCCTCATAATAGAAGGCACGGCAATTCCCATTATTTCTTGCAACCTCTTGATGGCTGAAGTTGTACCCGAGCCACAAAAGATGATTGCATCATTTTCCCCTACACCTAAGCATTTCTTAATGTACTCAGTTGCTTCATGTAGCATTTTTGTTGTCCTACTTCCCACGTAACTGTCGCAAGTGTGAGTATTACCTATACAGATAATAACAAGGCTCAAAAACAAGCTCTCATAATAACATTTTTAGTGTCTTATATAATTTACTTTAGCAACATATCTACTACATATATGTATAACATTTTGAAAGCATATATAATCCAGATGAATAAGGCTAATAAGGCATTATGTGAAGTAACATACCATAGAAAGGAAGAAGGTGATTGGTGATGAAGTTTTCATTGTACTGAAGGCTGCGGCCTGAAGCAGTGTGATCAGCATAGAGAAGTTTCCGTTTTCCAAATGGAGAATCAAATTCTGCATCGTTACCTATGATTTGGGACCGCAACCAAGACAACTTTTCCTCCACAGATTGGTTACATGGCAAGCCCATCTCTACTAGCTTCTCAAAGGACTCAGAATGGTTGCAGAAGTCATAAGATGTTTCTGATATGCTTGGTTTGGATAAAACTTGGACCTCATTGATTGTTTGGTTCTGGCTTTGAGCTAAGCTTGGTCCAGCCAATGTGGCTCTCTCTCTCAACAAAGGGTGTTCTACCTCCATAAACAACAACTGAATAAAGTGGTGTATGATTTTGTTTATGTAACGCAACATATAAGAATAAGAGGAAGTAGAAAACTTTTAAGAGAAGGGAAAAATACATGGGATTTATATTTTGGTAAGAGTTAACATTTTCAGTGGGATTGTATATTATGGGCCTGACAAACCTGGTGGTGCTTTTTTACTGTGGATATATAAAATTCAGGTAGCTCTCTCTCTCTAGACAACAGGTTCCAAAACATTGTATTTGAACTCTTATGATTCCCTTGTCTTCCGTTGACCACCGAGTGCATGCTAATGGTATATTATTTGACCTTAATTGTAAATAAATTTTGGGACAGAATGATTTACCAACTTTGGTGGATTTCTTTATGAACAGTAATTGCTACAATATTTAAAGAATATAAAATATTAGCAACATACTTTTTAATTTTTTTTATTATAATCTTAATTATTAGCTAAAATTTATTTAAAATATTAAATTAAAAGAAAGAAAAAGTGAGACTTATATAAATTTTGTAATCCTTAATAAATTTTAGTTAATAATTAAAAATTAAAAATAATGTGCTATTGCTTCTACATTATTTTTCGTTAGACATTGGAAGCACAAGGATTATATGGTTTTCTAGCAAAAAAGTTTGTTCCCTGAAAATTCAAGATTGCTTTCTAGAATGGTTCAGAGGATTTCCCTTACATTGTGGGCAGGATACATATGATATAATTTGACTAATATGTAAAATACTTGTGTATATTAATCAATTTTAATTGTATACTTTCTTTATTTGTCGGTTAAAACTTGTTGCGTAGAATATAAATTTTTAATTGCAATTATAATTAATATATATACAAAGTAATTAATATGACAATAAAAAAGGAATTAATATGACTTAAATGTTTAAATTAAAATTAAATAAATAAAGCATTATTATTATTTAATGGGATACAACTTATTTTATTAGTTGATTCGTCCTTTAACTGAAATGAAAGCAATTCTAAACGATTTGTCTTGTGAACTTATCTTATATTAACTAAAAAAAAGTGCATAAAAACAACGCGCTAAGATTCTTGGCTGAGGCTACCCATTTTACCCACAAGTTTAAGTTTAATTTGGACCCACAGAAACTTGACCTAATTGAATGAAAGTATACACTTTTAAAGTGGACAATACTGTTTACTTCAATAGCGGCATATAGTGAGCTAGACATTAATGCATGTTAAAAGATCAATATACACTTAAAAGGATAGATTACATTTTATTCATTTATAGCTTTACATTATTTTATTTTATTTTATTGACTCATTCAACTTCTTTAATTTTATTATCACTTAATTCTTTTATAAAAATAAGTTGAACAAAATTATAAAATTGTAAGAGAATAAAATATAATTTCTCTCATTTATTAAGGGATTATATTGTGTCGGATTGGTTATTTATTTTTTAATTAATTTTGGTATATTATGATTTTTAAAATTTTAAATGTGAAAAGAAATTTTATTTTATTATTTAACGATATCAATCTATTTCAATATATTAAATATAAGTATTTATTTTTAATAAGAATATTTTCAAGAATTATTTCGAAAAAACAAATTTTAAAAATTATTATCTTACTTTTATTATGTCATGTGACTTTTTTACATTCAACATTTGTTTATTTTTAAATCCAATTTTAACTTGAAAATTCATCTATTTTATTTATTTATATTCAATATAATTCAATATTTATTATTAATAATAAAAACATTTATAGTTTTAAAATTGAGAATTTATTAAATTTAAAATAGTCATATAATTTTTTAAGCTTTTATAAAATTTTAATTTAATAATACACATAAACTCACTAATGACATAAAAAAAGATGAGAACGAGTCGAGTTAAGCTTACACCTAACTTAGTTCCTAATTACAAAATCTAACTTGATTCGTTTACTAATCATAAACCTTTTAGCTTGACCTAGCTAACTTAAAGAATATTTTTTAGGGTTTAAACGCATCTTTTGTATGAAGGCCTATAAAGAGGCTGATAACCTTATTGGCCCAAATAAACTAGCAAGCATATCTGTCAAAAATAGGTTGGCCCACAAACCTATCATTGTTAAAAAATAAAATTATAAAATAAATAGGGGGTTAATTTTTTTTTCATATTTTTATTATAAAATTTTGTAATTTTCCCCCTTCAAAGTATCTTTTACATAATAAACAGAAATTTTAAAGTTATTAATTTTTTAAAAAATAAAATTCTAAAATTTGGATTCTATATTTAAAAAAAAAATTGGAAGTATCACTAAAAAAAGTTGACCGATAAAATAACCTGCTGCTTTGACCGCTTAAAATTACCATAAATATATTTTTGACACTAAAAAAGAGTACTAATTTTACGTGAGGTAAAAATTTCTTACCATTTTTTTAATTGTTGATAGCAGTTTCTGTTACATGATTTTAATTGACAAAAATATATTTTTAATGACATTTCTGAAAATTAATTTCTAAAAATGTAAAATTTTAATTTTAAAATTTTATTTTTAGAAGTGTAAAATATTATTTTTAAAAATTTATTTCAAAAAAGAATTAACAATTTTAAAAAATCATTTGATAAAGTATTTTTATTATAATAAATGGTATTTTTAAAAATATTAAAAATTACAAAAATTAGCCACATAAATAGAGTCATAAACTTATCAAGGAGATTCAACAATATAATTTTTTATCAAATTAAAATTTTTTTTAACTTAATAATGAGTAAAATAAATCTTGATCATAAATTTATACATGTATGATTAAAATTAAAATATTGTCACATGACATTTTAAAATAATAATATGAATATTAAATAATCTTTAATTTTAATTATTTATGTATATGTATAATTTAATTATATAATTTTCATAATTTAAAAATAAAACTACTATCACAAAAATTATCCCCCATGTAAGTGAGAGAGGAGGGGAGAGTTATGGACCCATTTATTTGAATAATAAGTCTTAAAAATTTACTTTATTTGTAAAAGTAAATAAATCAACATTTTTAGGTTCAAATAAGATTGTAAAGCTCTTCCATGAAAATTTAATGATTCTAACACTCCTAAATGTTCGTTCAGCCTAATGATTAACGAAATTTTATAACCCACCCATCACTAATGACATTCTTCTTATTGTTAGCAGAGTATCTTTTGGACACTATATTAAGAGTTTAATGACAGTAGATTATAATTAGATACAAAGATTAACAAATGATCCTGGGTATTGACCACATAATTAAACTCTAAAATGGAGGATACTGGGATCTACTTCTCCAAGGAGTGTGCTTTGAGAAGGGAATTTGGGGAGACAACTTGCAATATATTTAGCTGCGTCTAAATATGATTTCCTTCTTAACATTCTAACTTGTTTATCTCCAATATTATATCCACTACTTGCTTTCCAATTGTTGCAATTATTTTCCTTTGTTAGAACATCTAGTTGCTCTCTCTTCATTCTCCAACTTCCATTTCTCAAATTGAAGCTATACAGGGAAAGGAACCGTTGACCGTACATTGCTACAAACTCTATTGCACTTAAAATGAACTCAAATTCCTCCTCTTCCATGTAATAAGGAAAACTAACTCTAGTCCATCCAGGTTTTGCTCCAACATAACCCTGTTCAAAATAATTAACAATGCTTTTTAAGTATTAATCTGTACGGTTTTTAATGTTTAAAAGAGTAAATGCTCGTTTTAATTTCTCAAATTGTAATTATTGATATTTTAATGTGACTTTATAAAAATATCACTTTGATTTTTTAATTTACAAAACAACATTCATTTTAAATTAACTGTTTTCAAAATATCAAAGATTAAGCTAATTTTTTTTAAAGTTAAACACTAAATTAATTGACATTTACAATTTAAAAGACTAAAATAAGTATTTCCTCTAATTAAAAATTCTAAATAAGTCCTTATGAATTTAAATCTACAAGAAATTAAATAAAAATTTTCAAAAATTTTAAGGATATATTATATAATTAAACTAATGAGTTGAATTATTTAAAATTCTCAATTAGATTTTGGTGCTTTATAGCACTTTAACAAACGGATCTAATTAAAAATAAAAATTTAAAAACCTGCTAATGAATTGTTTAAGTTAAAAACTCAATTAAAAAATTTGTAAATAATTCAGGACTTATAGATGAATTAACCTTTGGCACTGAAATTTAAAATTGAAGTTGTAGAAGGATTTACCTCTTGAATTGCTGATCTAACAGCTAGCGATTGAGATTTGTTGATATGAAGCAATTTATGGCCGTAAGGTCCAGCACAAGCACACCCACCACGAGCTTGAATGCCAAAGAGATCACTTAGAAGTGTTGCAACAAATGGTCCATGAAGTACCTTTCCTCTTTTGCTTCCTGTTTCTGTCCATAAATTATGTTTCTCTTTGTTGGTTGTAGAATAAACGAGAAACGACACTATAGCTTGTCGATTGATGCTTAAATTTCCAAGAATCTCAATGTTTGGATTAGACACGAGTCTCTTAAGTGCCTTGTTGATGTATAGTTTTTCTCTTTTTTGGATCTCTTCATAGCTGATGTATTCTTTCACCCAAAATGCCAATGCTGCTCTCACTGTTTGGATTATTGGAGGCGTACCCCCATTTTCCCTTTCCTCTACATTCTCCACGTACAATGTATCCTTCATTCAACAGTAATATCTTATTATTTTTAATAAACAAATGTTAAAAAATTAAAAAATGAATGTTTAAAATTACATCATTTTTTATAAAAATTTATTAACATGTTTTAATTTTTTTAATCCATAAAACAGCTTTTATCAACATTTATATGAAATTATACATTAAGATATGAAAGAGGTTATTTGTAATTCATTTTTAAACATGACATAAAATAAGTTTATAATTTGAGATTGTTGGATTACCTTATCATCGAAGCCATTGACATAATTCACTGTTCCACCTCCACAAGTAGATGGAGCTGAAGAGCTTAATTGGTATAGGGCCTTGTTCATGAGGAGCACCCCAGGAGAGTCAGGACCACCAAGAAACTTATGGGGACTGAGGAACACAGCATCATACCCATCACTTTGCCCTGACCTCATCTCAATCTCCACATATGGGCCACTAAACAAAACAAATGCATCATCACATAAAATTTGTTAAATATATATACCAGCCTTAAAAACTTATTTAAGCTATCAAATGTGAAACAATTTTCTATATTTTATTTTAAAATTCTTAAAGTAATAAATGTTTTTTATTTATAACCTACAATTGCAACATATAAAGTCACAAACACACGTATTATAAGGAAGAGCACATGTTCACAATTCTAAGGATACCTGGCTGCGAAATCAAAGCATGCAAAGCCATTGTATTGGTGAAGAAGCTGAGCAATTGCACGTGTATTTGAGTAGATTCCAGTAACATTGCTACAAGCTGAGAAAGATCCCAACAAGGGTCGGTTGGTACATTTGTAGGCTTCAAGTTGTAGCTTTAGAGCATCCATATCAAGCAACCCATTGTGATCAAGGTCAATCTCTACCACTTCAGCCAGACTTTGCCTCCAAGAAAGTAGGTTTGAATGGTGCTCATGTGGCCCAACAAAAACCACCCATCTTTCTTCTGTATTGAGGTTCTTTAAAAGCCTTTCCCTCATAATAGAGGGCACAGCAATTCCCATTACTTCTTGTAGCCTCTTGATGGCTGAAGTTGTGCCCGAACCACATAATATGAGTGCATCGTCTTCTCCACCACCTAAGCATTTCTTAATGTACTCAGTTGCTTCGTGTAGCATTTTTGTTGTTCTACTTCCCACGTAACTGTCACAAGTGTGAGTATTGCCTACATATCAAATATATATGTGTTCGTGGTTAACAAATGTAGAAATATTTGAGACACGCTTTTTCTCTTGCTCTGGAAGATTTGAGGAACATATCAAGGGAAAATGCAAATGAGTTTTGCCATATTTTGTGTATATATATTTTTACTGAATAATTAAAAGAATTTATACACATAAAAGATGAAAAGCTTTAGATTTTTCAGTTAAAAAAGCAACTACGAAAGTATTAATTGCTTCCACTTGCCACTGAACATATCAATAAATTAACTCAATCCTGTAGGTAGAACTTTGATGACAACGGCTACCATTTTTTTAGACAATAGGTAGTGGGGAGATGATTATAGTCGGTTCAAGTACACCTCCTAGAGTAGTATGATGAGTTTTTATTTTTATTTTTTTCATTTTCGTACTTTATTTAAATGTAGTATTAATGTATCTTTTTAATATAATAGTAAAATTCATTAACTCAATATTAATATTAATTATAACAATTTAATAAAACAAAGAATATTAACGAAAAAATATTTAAAAATCATCAATGATATTTAGTCACTATATTCCTGCAATTTTATAAATAATTACTCATGTTTAAACGCGTAGACCCATTTAATGGATAAACACTTACATTGTGAGGACTTTTATAATTAAATATCTGTTAAATTTGTGTCTAATTATTATTTCTAATTAAGATTAGGTTAATGATAAATGACTTAAATAATTTGATAAGTTCAAACATTTTTACCATCAAAATCACATTAGATCTTTATAATATTTTTTGGTATGCTGCAAAAGGAGTAAACGTATAATAAATTTGTGTGTCTTTTCCTTTGTAAATACTTATAAATTTCAATTATACTTATAAATACTTAGAGCAAACATATATATTATTGTTCTAATATAATTATACTCTAACATGTTTTGATATCAAAATCTAAATTAACTTTGATATATTTATAATTTGACAAAGCTTTCAATTTGTAAATCTTTTTATTTATTTATTTTTTAACATAAGTTTACCCTAGTATAAAAAAAACTAGTCTAAATAAAAAAAATCCAAAACATTCTAAAAAAAACAACAATAACTAAAAATAGAAGGCCGATAACGTAACTTGGCTTATTAATAATAACTACGAGCTTAATCCAAATGGGTAACTCAATTCTTGAAATGAGTTGAGTTGGACTAAATAAGACTACTATAAATTTGTAAATTCAGCGTATATAAGTCTATCTTAACACTACTACTTACGTGAAAGTTATCATGAGAGGATGCGAAAAAATATAGATGCCTTAAGGCATGATATGTTAGTACCATAGAAAGGAAGAAGATGATCCGTGATGAAGTTTTCAATGTAGTGAAGACTGCGGCCAGAAGCCGTGTGATCAGCATAGATAAGTTTTCGTCTTCCAAAAGGAGTGTTGAACTCTACATCGTTACCTATGATCTGGGACCGCAACCAACACAGCTTTTCTTCCGCAGATTCATTATCCAATAGGCGCATCTCTACTAGCATCTTAAAGGACTCAGGGAGGTTGAAAATATCATGAGATGTTTCTTCTATGGTCGAAATTTCGATCCCACTATTTGCCTTTCTCTGGCTTTGAGCTATGCATAGCTCTGGAAATATGGGTTTCTCCGCTAACATGGGTTGCTTTGCCTTCTTCAACTTGAATTTGAAGTTAATGATGTGATATATACGACATTGTCTATGAATGCAACCCATAATAAGAGGAGTCGCAAGATGAAGGCTTTAAGGGAAAGCACAAAACTGGTGGGTATATTTATATTGATGAGTAATGTTTTTAAATTCAATAAAAAATAATAATTTATCATGACGAACCAAAATATATATACATTTTGGGTAACAATGAAGCATACGTGGAATTTGAATATACCAATTAAGGTAATCCCTAGCTCTAGGGTTGCGAGCCAAACATTTTATTTCATGAGCTATGATTTATTTTATTTTATTCGGGGTTCAAGATTAACTTATAATTTTACCATTTGTTTTGTACGTTGATGTTGGATTGTCGAAGGTATACTAACATTAACATGTTATGAGGTGAAACTTTTGTTCTGGGACTGGAAGCAGAAATGTAAGACTTGGACAACATAATGTGAAAGACTTACAGGTCCATTAATTTGGTAAACATGCTGATGCAGGTCGTTCAAGATCAAATTCAAATTTGATGACGTGCAAGGCATTTATTTTATGAAAACGATGAATCAGTCATACATTTCAGCGGTCACTTGCTGGTTATTATCACTACCAATTGAACGCTTATTATATATTTCCTAACCTGGAAGATTTGAAGTTCATCCAATCGTCACTGTTGAAAACTCGGCTTGATCCAATCGGGTAATCAATTTAAAATGGGTAATCATTAATGATCCAAATTTTGATAATACCTTAGATATTTTATATTTTAATGATCATGTTATTCGTTCCGGTTGCCACTGGCCTTAGAATTTATATCTCTTTTCTGTGGTCAATGTTTTTGGACGCTAAAAACACGTAATATTTCGATTTTAGAAACAATTTAAAAACGGTACGTATTATTATTTAAATTCGTATTAATATTTCATTATGCCACTGGCCTTTGAATTTATATACATTTATATATTTTTTCTATCGCTAAAAATCATTTCGGACGCTAAAAACACGTTTATTCCAATATCAGAAATGTTATTTTATGTTTATATCATATACTTAGTATTTTTTGTGTTAAAATATTTTATTTATAATTATTTTATATTATTTTTTAGTATATTAATATTATCTAAAATTTTTTATAAATAAAATAATTTTTAAAAGTATTTGAACAAAAAAAATGCTATATATCGTATTAAAACCCATTTAGGTGATAAAATAACACTGCTGTTTCAATATTGGAAAAAGAGGTATATATCTTCTCAGAACTTCCAACCCTTGCGTTGCTGTCATCATGCATTGCCACGTATTGTGTCCATATCTCAGAGAGAACGTATTGATGGACCGTACGGGTTGAACATGTCTGCAAGGAAGCTAATCAGTGTGTAGACTTGATAGCTAAGCTTGGCGTTTAACAACATTGATCCATGGAAGAATTGAGAGAATCCTCTGGGTGATCTCAGCCATGTTTTGCAGGCCATACCCATTGTTTTTTATAAGAAAAACAAAAATAAGGTTTGTGAAATGTGACAAATCAAGCATAAATATTTTACTGAATACACACAGGCACGTACATATATGTATTTACACCTATATATATAATTTTTTAATACATATTTAAGAGCATACAATATAATTTTATGCATAATAAATTTCAATGAATTCAATATATTTATAATATTAGATGTTATCATTTTTAATATAAACTGTTTATTGATTTTTTATTACATACCTTGGAGCATGTATTTGTACATCCACCCTTTAAAAAAAATTCTAATAAAATGAATTCATCACTTAAACATATATATTAATTATTACAGCAAGTTTTTTTTTTCCCCTGTGAGATGCTTATATTACACTTCTTTCTTCTATCATTTTAAAGCATACACCTCATTTAAAAGATGAACATGTATGGCATTTTTTATTTATCGAAATTTAAAGACTACAAGATATTATTTTTAAGTAAAAAGGGTCGAAAACTAATTTTTAATGGTAAGTTCAAACACAGGAGTAGAAGTGCAATATAACTTTGTATAATTATACTATCGCTTCAACCTTTTGAATTAAACCATTCCATTATAATTTTTTCAGAGATATTTTTTTATTACAATAATTCTTAACAAGATTAATAACAATGAGAATTGAGAAGAAAAATAGAAGCATAAATATGCTTACTATTTTTAAAATTACATTGAAAAAGAAGAAACATTGAATGAGACTTCTTGCTTAAAGTTGACATGTATATAATCATGCAAAAAAAGTTTTTTTTTTTCACAAAAGATAGAACTTAACAAACAAAAAAAAACCAATAAAAGCCACACTTATTTATAACTTAAGTTGAAGTATGAAGTAAACAATACAATGAATTACAATAAAACCAATTTTTTAAAATATATAGTGTTTAATTACAAGAATTGTGTACTCAATCAAGCTGTAATAAAATTAACTACGATAACTATATTAATCAAACTAATTACAATTCTAACAATGTTAATTACTATGGTAATATTATTAATACTAATTATGATTATGTTTTTTATTAATAATGAAATTATTCTTTTAATATATTAAATTAATCCCTTTTAAGTAGGGAAAATATCTCAAGTCACCTTACTTTTATAATAATAACAATAATAAAATTATTAATTATAAATTAAAAAGAACGTACTCCTGCAGCAGACTCCCCAGATTGGATCATGCCATGCGTCACGGGTTAGACAGAAACTTCAAAGTTCTGTTTTTTTTTGGTCGATTGAAACTTCAAAGTTGAATCAGAGATCACAAGTCTTGTTATTTTTGGTTCGTTGTCTGTACAAATGGACCAATTGACATTAAACTCTGAAATTTAAAGATAAATTTCAACCAAGAGATTGGTTGTCAATGGAATTCATATTGGTCCTTGTAATTTCGCATGTTTTAAATGTTGGAATGGAAGATGGATGAAAGTCTCTGTCTTCGTTCTGCTGCTTCCATTTCTCAAATTGAATTAAGTTATGGTCATTTCCCATCATAAATAAGTATGCTTGAAAGGAACATATATCCACACCAATATCTAATAAACGCATGATATGATGATAACTTTAAGTTACTGTATCACAATAAGGTTGGCGACTAAAAGTAGGGCTTTTGCATGTATGTTGCATGTTTGATTAACTTACTGCCTAATATGGAACATTAAAAAGAACTTACTGTCTAATATGGAAAGTTAAAACAGTCAAATTCTGTTTTGTTTAATAAAACAGGATGGACTAAATCAAAATGAAACAAGATTAAGTTCTCTTATTTAGATTATTTTGCAACTACTAAATATCATTTGAAATGCAGGGATATCTTTCACGAAGTATAAAAAAATTAAATTAAACATTATAAAAAATAATTTAATTGATAAATAATTAGTTTGTTAGTAATAAATATAATTATACAGTACAAAACCTTTAATTTTTTTTAAAATCCTAAAAATATTATAGTTAATAAAAATTAATTTAATGATAATTTACAACTATTTTGTTATGTTTAATGTTGATTAAATACATTTAAATATTAAAAATTTAAACTATTAAAAATAATTTTTTGAATAAATAATTAAAAATAAATTAGCGTTTTTTTACACAAATTGATATAAATGTGCTTAACGTAAAAGTTTATAACATATATCACAATATAAAAAAAAGAAAATACGTAACTTCGTTAACAAAAATATAATGTCACTTCATGATAATTGAGAATGACATCACACATTTCATTCACGGATCTTTTGATGTAAGCACTTCTCTTGAATTAATAAAAATAACATAAATTTTCTAAAACAAAGATAATTGAGTGATTTTATAAGTAATTCAAGTAACATTTATAAGATTTTTATCTTATATTTTTATATAATTTTTTATAAAATTATTTATTTTTTATCATATTATATATTTTGGTTTTTTATTTCTCTTTTTACCGTAAAAATGTACAATAAATATATCATAATCCTTTAAACTAGGAAAATGTTTTTTTTATATACGTTAAATGGGACCCTTTTTTAATGTATCTTTAATTTTAGAAGATATTTTAAAAATACATAAACAAAAATACTATATATAATAATTTTAAAAAATGAATAAATAAATACAGAATAGAGGGAGAAGAAGAGGGGAAGCAGTTCCCGCCAAGTGAAAAGGCAGGGCGCGAAATACCCTTTCCCTTCCCTGTGTCTGTGTGGCGTTTTCTTCCTTTCTTTCTAAACTCCAAACCTAAAACTCTAATCGGATCGGATCCAAAGAGAATGAAGGGTGGAACGGTTCAGATTAGCTGGCACGAGAGCAAACCCATCTTAACCCTCGATTTCCACCCTCTCTCCGCCACTCTCGCCACCGCCGGCGCTGATTTCGATATCAAGGTCTCTCTCCCTCTCTCCCTCTCTCCCTCTCTCTCTGGCATTATGTAATTCACTTGATTTTTTTCTTTTCATGTTTCCAGTTTTGGTCTATAAAACCATCAGGGACACAGAAGAAGCTACCAGCAGTTTCCTATCTTAGTAACCTCTCTTACCATAGTTCCGCAGTAAATGTTCTTCGCTTTTCGGCTTCCGGTAACCCCTTCTTCTCTTATTATGCTACAAGAAACAGTGTGATGATTTCGCCTTTCCGTTAGTAACAGGTATTCTTGCTTTTGTGTGTTTGTAGGGGAATTGCTAGCCTCTGGTGCTGATGGTACGATCTTCGTGTGTTCAATGATTTTTAGGTTGAGTTAGTATAATTCGGCAGTAATTCGCGCAAATCATCATATTTTCCGTTTTCTTCTTTTTCAGGAGGTGATCTGATAATATGGAAACTGCATTCTACTGATACTGGTCAGACATGGAAGGTTCTCAAGATGTTACGGTAAGGTTTTTGCTTTTATTTCTCAATTAGCATTTGGGTGGATTATAATTTAAATGTTAAAGATCGCGAAGAAAACTTGAAATATATTAGATTTTGGCTGCTAAATATCCCATTCTATTGTGAAAATGTATATTTCACAAGTTATAAAGTTTTCATATATCCTTACATGTTTTAATTTGAAATAATTGCGTTGTTTGATTTATTTCTGAAAAATTATTTATGAGAAAAGAAAGAGTATTTTTAAATTAGAATTACAAACTATGGTCACAACCATTAATAAAGACCAAATCACCTCTCTTGTTTTAATATTCATTTTGATATTGATGTTTTAGTACATCGATTTTGTACTTATTAAGGATATTTTTGTTCATTAGATCCCATCACAAGGACATTCTGGACCTGCAGTGGTCCACTGATGCCACATATCTCATATCCGGATCAGTTGATAATTGTTGCATTATATGGGATGTTAACAAAGGTAAGAAAGGCAACGGGTAACTGTCATCAATTATACTTGAACCGTCCCACATGACTGTTGATATGCTGTAACTGTAATGGCAATTGATATGTGTGGTTTATATTCTTATAGTGCCTGATCCTTGTGTGTCAGGAATTAACCTTCAAACATTGGATGCCCATGCACACTATGTTCAGGGGGTTGCATGGGACCCACTAGGGAAGTATGTTACTTCTCTTAGTTCTGACAGGACTTGCCGAATTTACATGAATAAGCCTCATAAATCAAAGGGCATTGAGAAAATCAATTATGTTTGCCAGCAAGTCATTTCCAAGGCAGAACAGCCATTATTAAAGAATTCAACGGTTATTATAGAGCTCCATATTTTTTTTCTTTTTGCATTATTGATGGATTGTTGCATACATGAACATTGGGCTTAATTTTTGTAATACAGGCAACAAAATATCATCTCTTCCACGATGAGACATTGCCATCTTTCTTCAGAAGATTAGCCTGGTCTCCTGACGGTTCATTTCTACTAGTGCCTGCAGGTATTCACTCGAGTAGAAGTAGATCTTTCATTCAATTAACCTCACTTCTTGTTCAAGTTCTGGGGATGAGCTTTTGCAATTTTATGCAGTGATTGTTTTAGAATCAAGTCAGTGCTTGAATTTTTCATAGTCAGTATCATCTTTTATTTTACAAGGAAGTGGGTAAGTCTCTGGTCAAAGCCAATTAAATTGTTGATTTATGCATTGTTAGTCGCATACCATTGGCCAGACAGTTTTTAAAATTTCCCCCTGTTTTGCCTGACGTCCTTATAATTAAATTGTAACTTATGGCTTGAATCATACCCATTAATTTCTTCCTTTTGGAATATGAATTGCTGCATTGCATTTACTATATGTTCCTTTTCTTATCGATAAGTTTGTCTCACTATACCTTTTTCAGGCACTTACAAAATTAATACTGCATCTGAATCTGTGAATGCGGCTTACATATTTTCTAGAAAAGATCTTTCTAGGTAAGTATTCCAGTATTTCAGCTATTTTATCTTTTTAAGTGCTGAAGACTTTATGCAAACCTAGAACAGACTTCTAATCCTTTTACTTTTTAGATAAACTGTTGAATTGAAATGCTGCAAATTACACCATTTTCTGGCTTTTATGTCCAATTACTCATTTTTGTGATGTGTGTTACTTATTCTTTGACCTTATATACAGGCCCGCTATACAGCTTCCTTGTGCAAGCAAAGCTGTTGTAGCTGTCCGGTTCTGCCCCATATTTTTTAAACTTCGGGGAAGGAACTCAGGTACTTCGTTTACTTGTATTTTTGAACACTTGAATTGCCTGAGTAGCTTGGGGGTCAGATTAAGTATGAGACTTCTTGCGCTGCTAATTAGTATTGCTTAAAATTCTTCCTGTCCTGGAGAATTTACTGCTCAGTCGACGCATAATGCTGATTTTTTTAGTGCAGCTGGGCTGTTTAAGCTCCCATATCGCATCATATTTGCTGTGGCCACTTTGAATTCGTTATACATTTATGACACTGAAAGCACCTCTCCAATAGCTATATTAGCTGGTCTTCACTATGCTGCAGTAACAGATATTACCTGGTAAATTCTATTGTAGCCAACAAAACCTTTTTAGGTTTGGGAATTAAGGTACAATTTTTCGGGTAAGGTTTAACTATAGTTGGTATATGTTCACAAGGTCATCTGATGCCCATTATTTGGCATTGTCCTCACAAGATGGTTTCTGCTCTTTGGTGGAATTTGAAAATGGCGAACTTGGAATACCTTTCTCTTTATCAGGTAAGCAGCCTTCCTTTTCTGCTGTGATATTTTCACTACAATGAGGTTTTTAATTTCTCTATTACATATCTTCTAGAAGGAAATGTCTCAGCCAATGATAGTAAGTGCACCCAGCAGACAGCCAATGATACAGTCATTGGACCAACAGGGAATATTAGTACAGTTGTAGCAGAAAGCAAGAAAATGGAAGGGAAGGTTGATGACATGGTTATTGAAGCATCTGGGAATATTGGTGCCATCACAGCCGAAAGCAGGAAAAATGAAACACTAAAGAAGGCTGATGATATGATCATCAAGTCAGCTTGGAATATAGCAGATAGTAGGAAAAATGAAGCAGAAGAGAAAACTGATGACATGGTCATTGACGCATCTGGGAATGTTGAAGGGATTATGACAGATAGTAGGAAAAATGAAGCAGAAGAGAAAGCTGATGACATGGTCATTGAGAAAACTGGTGGTGTTAGTGCCACTGAATTAGATAGTATAAAAATTGAAGCAGAAGACAAGACAGAGAAACAGCTACAGAGTTCAGGTAGTGTAAATTCTGGAACAGAAGACAATGCAGAAAAACAATTTACTAATCCAGATGGTAAACAAACGGGAGCAAAGGCAAAGACAGAGAAACAGCAGTCAAGTTTAGACGGTATAAAATTATGTCAAGAAAAGGCAGAGAAACAATTGTGCACTTCAACGACTACGCCCATATCAAATAAACCAGCCAAGAAGCGTATCACTCCTATTCCCATTAATCCATGATTTTTCAATTCCTGAGAAATTGCATCCATGTCCGCCTCACTCCTACATGGACTGGACTAGAAATTTATAAACATTTTCTCCAGAACACAAATAGGCGATGTAAAAATTGGAAGGGAAGTCACTTTTTACTGCTGGAGGTGGTTTACAGTTACAAGATGATAGGGATAGATGTTATCCATAGCTTTGCATGCCCACACCTAGTTACAAATTATTGGCTCATTCTTGATCTTCAAATGAGAAGTTGCAATGAATGGTACAGTGAGCGTGTATTTTGTTATAAATATTTTGACAATAGCCTGGGGATAACCCTTTCTACCAGCATAGTGGTTGTTGGAGACTAGATCAGTGGCATTTTTTATTATCATACATAAAGTTGTGTATTGGGGAATGGGAAAATGTAGCCTGTGTTAACAATTACTTTGTAATTATATGAAATGTAAGGGACAGAGAAAATTTTTGGCAACCCACCTCAATTTAAAAGTATGATTTTTAGCCTTAAAAGAAAGGCCAAGTTGGCAAAACCATATTTTGATGATATATTTCAATGAAGACTACTTTTCTCTGCGAAGCTATTCCGCAGGGGCTCTATTAGTACTTCATTTTCCACTGCCCTTGAAAGTATAATAAGTGAGATAGTATCTCTTTCTGAAGTGTCTGAAAAATCAGATTTGCTAACCTATCTTTTGTATCCGCTTGAATCAATGCATGCCGATCAGTATACGATTATTATTTGGGGCTTCATGATACCTATAACCGCTTCAAATTTGATTTCTTCTTTCGATTACAATAAACGATGACTAAAAATTGAGCCAATCATACAGGCACGCATCAATTGCTGCAGTTTTACATGCTTAAATGAAACAAAAGTACGATAGTAACTGTTGGTTTACGTTCGTGTTAGTTACTTGGAGGACATAAACAAAGCCCAAAAATGAGTTTCCAATTCCAAGGGCAGAGTTACAGGGAATCAGGACCATGCTATTCATTGCTCAATAAAAAAGAACAAACTATCCATAAAACACCTAATCTCAAAACAGAGAAAAAGTTTCATTCACAAGAAGAGAACTCAAGAAAAGGTTGACTTGATCAAATGGAACTTTGAAGATTAAGCTGAATGAATAGCTGAGGTGCTAATGCCATAGCTTGCTCTTAAGCTTTGGAAATAGATAAAAAGTTGGACGTTAAACTCAGGCAATGTTTTTGACATCATACACGTGCTTATTAGGAACGAAAACAACTTTTCATTGTTTCCATTTGTTTCAATCGACAATGAACAAGAGAAATACATTGCCAAGTGAAAGTTTTTCCACAACGGAAAACATTATTCAAATGAATCTTGCAGAAGCATAATACTGAACAATGAAGTAGACATGTTTTCATTGTTTTTGTAGATAATCCACATAAAATGAGTTATGAATTGATAATATAGCAGCCTCCAAAACGCAATAAAGATGATAAATTAACAAAAACAACAAAAAGGAATAGAAAAATCCTTTAGAGGGATTGTTAACAGTAATGCGGTTGTGCTCAAATTGGCTGCATAGAACCGACCATTTATAATCAACCTCGAATACTTTCTGTTGAGCTTTTCTTTGATCTTCCACCATCTTAGACTTGTCATTTCTCACAGTTTCAAACTCCTTTTTGTACGCTATAGTTTCTGCAACAAATTTCTTCTTTTCTTCTTGAAGGGACGATAAGTCATCCTCACAATCCTTTATTTCTTTTTCCAACCTATTCATCTGTTCCTTCAACATTGCCTCCTTTTGTTGAGCTTCATCCATAAAATTCATTGCCTTGGAAATTTTGGAAACAAGAGCAGTGGCTATCTCTTTTTGATGTGCAAGTTCTGTTGGGCTCAAATGCAGAAAAACTTGGACGTGTAAATTAAAATTCTGACGTAAACTGGCGAGCAATAATTCAGATTTAATAAATAGATTTAGCAGCGCAGCGGTGTAACTTGTAAAGTGTGCACTGGAATACTTCCCAGGAAAGAGAGGTGGATCACAATAGATCACTTAAATATCAAGTCTTTCCTTAGCCAGAACCTTTCCAGTTACAACACTAATACAAATAACACACTTATCCAGCAATCCAACAATCAGCCACGGAAGGATAACAGAAATAATTCTTTTTTGATGTGGAAGATCAGACTAAACTGCAACCACAGAGCATATTAAGAATTATTCTAACTGAATAAAATAAGCAGATAAAGAACACCAATATTTAACGTGGAAAATCTCCAATGTGGAAGAAAAACCACGGGACAAACTCCGAAAAATATTCCACTATATCTCGGGATATTTACAATATCCTTTCAACACTCTATCACACAAGAGATGTAAAATATAGTGTATCCAGTGAGACCCACTTCCTATTCAAATATTACAAATTTTGTAATACCAAGAAGAAATAGAGATGATACCCACCCGAGTGTATTTTTCTCACACTCTTAGGATTTACTCAACACTCTATTTTTTTCTCTCACTAGAATTGTATCAATGCTTGATAAACACTCTTGCGATGCACACCCTCAATTTCATTCCTCACGGCTATTTATAGCCAAATAAAGTTACTATTCACTTATTAAAATATTATTTATTTGTTTAGGGAGTAAAAAAAAAATGGCACCGAATCACCGAAATGTGCTGGACATCACAATTCTCCCCCTCCAGCACAAAGATGCACTCTTGGAATCTTCACATGCGATCCATGCCAATCAGCTTGGCACACTGTTGATGTTTTTCTCGTGCAACAACTTTCGTCATCATTTCTGCAATTTGGATTGCCAAGATATAGCTCCCCCTGCAAAGGTAAACACAAGTCCTGAAGTAGATTTTCTACTATCCAGGTCACCTGCCATATCTGCATCTGTGTATCCTTCAAGAACTGGGTTAGGTATTCCAAAGCTCAAGCACATATTATAACTACCTTTCAGATATCTCAAGATCCACTTCACTGCTTCCCAATGCTCTTTTCCAGGATTGGAAAGATACTTGCTAACAACTCCGACCGCATGAGCTATATCTGGCCTCGTACAAACCATGGCATACATCAAACTCCCGACTGCTGAGGAGTATGGAATACCCGCCATAGCTTCTTTTTCTTCTTGACTTGTAGGACAACTTCTTTTGCTGAGTTCGAAGTGATTGGCCAACGGTGTACTAACTGGTTTAGCCGTCTTCATGTTGAATCTGTCCAGAATCCGATTCACATACCGTTCCTGCAATAACCACAACCTCTTGGATTTTCGGTCTCGCATGATCTGCATGCCCAAAATTTGTTTTGCAGGGCCCAGATCTTTCATATCAAAAAACTTTGACAATTCCTTCTTCAAATCACCAATCAGCTTCGTATCCTGTCCCACTATCAACATATCATCTACATACAACAGAAGAATAATGAATTTATCACCTGGAAATGTCTTGACAAATACACAATGATCTGCATCAGTCTTGGCATATCGATGACTCGCCATGAACGAGTCAAATTTCTTATACCACTGTCTTGGAGCCTGTTTCAATCCATACAAGCTCTTCTTCAATCTGCAAACCATATGCTCCTTTCCAGTCTCCTCAAAACCTTCTGGTTGCTCCATGTAGATTTCTTCATCAAGGTCTCCATGAAGAAACGCAGTCTTTACATCTAGCTGTTCAAGCTCCAGATCCAAGCTAGCCACCAATCCGAGTATAACTCGAATAGAGCTCATCTTCACAACTGGAGAGAAGATTTCATCAAAATCTATTCCTCGCTTTTGTCCAAAACCTTTTACGACTAAGCGAGCCTTGTACTTTAACAACTTGTCACCATCTTTCTTAAGCTTGAACACCTATTTATTTTTCAAGGCTTTTCTGCCTTTAGGGAGCTTGACCAACTCATAAGTATCATTCTTCACCAGGGAATCCATTTCTTCTTGCATGGCTTTCATCCATTGGGATTTATCCTTATGAGTCTGAACTTCTTCAAAGTTTTCTGGCTCCCCCTCTTCAGTGATGGTAATATACGTCGAACTAGGGTACTTTGTAGATGGCTGGTGTGGTCTACTTGATTTCCGATGCTGAGGTGGAGCTTTTGGGTTTTCTTGCTCAACACCTTCATCATCACCATCTTCTATTGCTGGCTCATTATCAACCCTAAGTTCTCCATCATACTCTCCTCCTACTGTGGCATTTTTAGGAGGAACAATTGGTGTGAGATCAACCTTACCACCTGGTTCTCTGATTTTTGGTGAAGCAGAATCCGACATAGTTTCTTGCTCATGGAACACTACATCTCTGCTTCTAATAACTTTCTTATTTTCTGGATCCCATAACCTGTAGCCAAATTCCTCATCTCCGTAGCCCAGAAATATGCAAGGATTGGCTCTATCATCAAGTTTTTGTCTTCGTTCCTTACTCACATGAGCAAAACCTTTGCATCCAAACACTTTCAAATGAGAGTATTTAACATTATGTCCGGACCATACTCTCTCAGGGATATCGAAGCCCAAAGGAACAGATGGAGATCGGTTAATCAGGTAGCTTGCCGTTAGAAAAGCTTCACCCCAGAATGGCTTAGGCAGTTTTGCCATTCTTAACATGCATCTTACTTTCTCCATAATGGTTCTATTGATTCGTTCGGCCACACCATTATGTTGTGGGGTTCCAGGTACCGTCTTCTCATGCCTGATGCCATGCTCAGCACAATAATTCTTGAATTCATGGGAAGTATATTCACCCCCATTATTAGTGCGAAGACACTTCAAAGGTTTACCAGCCTGTCTCTTCACCATTGCATGAAACCTTTTGAAGCATTGAAAAACCTGGTCCTTCGTTCTTAAGAAATACACCCACAATTTTTGTGAAGCATCATCAATAAACGTCACGTAATATCTGCTACCACCAAGACTCTCCACTTTCATGGGTCTACATACATCAGAATGAACCATCTCCAAAATATTCTCTTTCAGCTTCGACGTTTTGCTGAAAGACACTCTATGATATTTGCCAAACAAACAGTGATCACAAGGATTCAGCTTTTTATTTTTGGCAAACGGGATAAAGGACTTTCTTGCCAAAATCTGCAATCCTTTTTCACTTATATGAGCCAATCTTTTGTGCCACAAATTTGGCGAAGCATCATCCTCGATTGCATTCAATCCGCCCTTGATCAGCTTCACTTGAGTTTTATACAACGTTGAATTTACTGTGCCTCTAGCAACCAACAACGATCCTTTGGTAAGCCTCCACTTGCCATTACCAAAATAGTTGTCGTAATCAGCTAGATCCAAAGCACGCACAGAGATCAAATTCAGACGCAGATCTGGCACATGACGCACATCTTTTAGTGTTATTGTGCATCCTGTATTGGTTTGAATGCACACATCACCAATTCCCACAATATCTGCGATACTGCTATTGCCCATCTTTACTTTACCAAAGTCTCCTGCTTTGTACACAGTAAAGAAGTCCTTGTGAGAA